CTGCCCACTTGGGGAACCCGAATGCGCTTGAAAACATTGACGAAAGTTCAGCAGCCATCGGCACATTGTTACCGCCACTGTCTGTTGACTGAGCAAGCATGTAATAAGGAAACCATGTATAATAAGTAAACATGAATAAAGGTAAACAGGTCAACTAGAAAATATAAGAACGTGAAAGGTACATATCTTTTTATGTAATCCATGGCGAATCAAGAACTGCCCTATTGGTCGGGCTAAGAGGGCTCCAAATTGACGCCACGCGACCATCTTGAGGGTGAGATGTGTAGAGCGGTATTCCCAATTGTCATCGATATAATTGGCAGTTGCTCCAACAAAAGCATACCGATTTCCTTTAGTTGTCCAGACATCATGGATTAAACAGAATTTACCTGTATTGTTCTAAGTGTATTTGAAGTTAGATGTGGTTAGTACGTAATCAGAATAAGGTATGATAGAAAAGAAGATAGAAAGGGGAGTAGTTGAAATGCGAGTAAAGAAAGTGGAACTCACTTTGACCATGTTAATGGCTTTGTCATGCAAAGCTGCAAATAGCTTGACCGACTGCTGGGCTGCCCAGGTTCTTGATCTAATCACAGCACCTCGATTGACAACATAAAAAGCTCCACGAAGCGGTAAGTCTTCAAAACGAGCCCAGGGAAGCGCGTGCCGAACTATCCATATGACCAATATCATATTCAAGAGATCGGGTGTGAAAGTGGGTCCACTGAGATAGCCAGTCAACGTTCCTTTGGGGTTTGATTTATTTTGTTTTTGTAAATCTTCGTAGCTAGGTGGAAGAATCACCCCGGCCGCGATGGCTTTGTGTCGTTGCTTGCAAGATGGTCGTCCCAACTTGCCGTCGCGGTGTCCCCACAAGCCCCCATAAGATTGATCTCCGCGTAGATAGTAACCTTTACACCATAGACACTGGTGTTTGAGGCCCTACACGTGGTAAGTAGTGAAGTCAACCTTCAAGTTAGTGATAATCATGTAAAAAGAGGAATAGCTGAGATGATGAAGACGAAAAACTTACATCAGCTGGGCCGTAGTACTCAAGAAGCTGTGCAACATTGCTTGATCGAGTCATGTTGTAACCAGGCTCATTGGAACCAACAAACTCGATGTCGGAATCTTGATCTAGGTCGGCGCCATCAGGAATCTCAAACGCCTAAGTTTGACAAACAAAAAGACTTTAGTCATACAAATAAACGAATGATGGAAAGAAATGATTAGCTTACATTAGAATTGGCTTTCTTGCCTTTTCGGGGCGAGGATCCTGTCGAACTTCCAGACGGCGACCTGGCGCGCTTACTAGTTGAAGAACGAGACTAGGAAAATAAGCAGAAAAGAGTTAGATACACTTGATTGGTATGTTTAGTTCTTAAACATACTGATCATTTCACAAACTTACTTTGCCTTTCACACTTGGCTTTGCTTTAGGCTTTGCTAGTGCCTTCGGTTTCGCTGTTGCTGGTCCATGATCCTTCAACTTCTTGTTCACAGTATCTGCAGGTCGAGGTGATGCACTTCCAACAACTTGAACCTCGGTATTGGTCGATTCGACTCGAGGTGTCAGTGATGAAACAACGGCGGAACGCGAGTCTTTTGGGGTAATCACAAAACCCGGTTGCGGGCGAATAGGGCTTGGTGGACGCAGGGTTCGACTGGATGAAGGTACAGTGGAATCTTTACCCGGAACCTGAAGTGACGACTGCGATGAGCTTTTGGAGGATACCATGGAGCTAGTAATATAACTTTAAAAAAGTTATTCAAAAAATATCAAAAGAGGAGATTGTTAGATTTATCTCGGAAGGAAATTGACAAACGGGGTTCACTTGACTCACCTTATAAATGTAGCTTGGTTACCTGAACCACAGGTGAGCCTTGCAAAAAACATCGAGTTGCTGGGGCTAGCGATTGTAATTGATTCTGGTTGGAACTGAATGTCGAATGGTGGGATTCAATTGAATGGTTCATGGGATGGTACTGAAGTTGAGACGCCAAAGGGATAAGTCGGTGGGGTACTGGTGTACATCGTACACCAATCTGGTAGCTCTGGGTACAGGGTATTTCTCCGCAATATAGCGGAGAAGCCCTGGCCCCGGCCCAGTGCGGAGCGCTCACTCCGCTATGGGTTTTTCCCAACGTCAAGGTGCGGAGCGCAGGCCCCGCTACATGTGGCGGGGCCATCGCGCAGCCTGAAACCGCTCCGCAATCGAAAAAAAGCGCGGAGCGATTGCGGTATTGCATACATACCAGGAAACACACACACTTGATATTCAAGGCTTGCAGTTTTAATCCCTTGAGTCATCATGGAGTTCTAGTGATAAGAGAAAATGAAGTTAAAACACATTCCTTTTAATAAGAAATCCAACTTTTCATTCTTCAACTTTGAGTTTTCAACTACTAGAATCGAATTTGCCTTGATTATCTATTTGGTTTTTACAAAAAGAAAGGATCAAGATTCAATTTGATCTCCACATTTCTTCATCTACAAAAATTAGTCTTCACTTTGGATTGAAAAAAGCAACTCATATTTCTCAGAATCATACAATATTCAAACCCAATGTTATTTGCTCTTCTCTACTGTACACTACCCCAGAAAAGCTCAATCAAGTGAATCGAATCTACATGATACCTCCAGACTTAAACCAATGAATTCCTGATAAATAGTCAAATAATATCAATAAAAATTGCTCTAAAAAGATGAGATTAATTAGTACAACAACAAAAACCATCAATAAAGAATACAAGACGTTGAAAAATACTTCATTGTGTTACAAGACAACAAATTAACCAAACAAAGGTATTTCAAGATTTGCAAATACACTCAATGTTACTGATCCTCAATACCAAAAACAACGACCGAAAACCAAACAATCCGATACTTAGAAAAGTCCAAATTTCAAACATTTTCTCTACCAACTTCAATCCAATCTTCATCAGAATCCAAATTAGTCTTCAATGAAACCTCATTAATAGATAATTTCTTCATTAGTTCTTCTCTTCGATTTGGATCTAATTCATTGATTCTTCCAATTAAATTTCCTAAAATTTCATTCTCATCTTTTACTTTTTCTACTTGAGTTTCTTCAATTGTTTCTTTAATCTCTGCTTGTTGGATATCTTCATTGATTTCTGATAATTTCTTTTTACCTTCATTTGATAGTAAATCATAAAACCTAGTAAAAACAGCTAAAGAAACGTCAAAATTTCAAATCATATTATCAGTATCTATAATCTTATGATGAACCAAAAAAGAGAAAATAGGATTCGAATTGACAAACCATTAGTCCAACCAAATCCAACTTCGTTAGTAGCATACCCAAACTTTAAATCAACAATCTCATTACACTTCTTAACATCATACTTTTCCCATAACTCTCCAGTTCTAATCCAAGTTTTAAGTACCATAGAATTGAACTTCAAAGCAACCCTTTCAGCTTCTTCTTCAAACCCATATTTCTTCATTCCTTCAACTCCAAATAATTGTAAAGGAGCCCAACCATAAGGAGAATCCCATTGATCACCAACATCAACATTAGATACTAACAAGCCACCTTCTGCTTCTAATCCTTTCAATGCATGTTTGACGACTAATTCACTCTCAAGTTTACTTGCAAATCCACACCAGAGTGGTAAAAAACAAGTACCAAATAAATATTTTCTTCTTTCTCCTTTTACATAATCGTAATCATAAAACATTCCATCATCTGAATCCCAATTAAATTTTCGAATTAATTTAATTCTTTCAATCGATTTGAATTTCCAAAGTTTAGATTTTTTTTCCGTTTTTTTCATCGATTTTTTTAAATTCATTTGATTTATATCTTCTTCAGTTACTTCAGTATGATTTGGTTTTAATGACTTTAACAGATTTTCATGTAATAATTGATATAGTTCATGGATTTCAAATTCCATTTGAACCAATAAAGAATTTAAACAGATCGGATTAAAGTCTAAAACTTTGGCATTAAACATACCAAATCTAGATGAAGTATCAAATCCGGATTCTCTCATTGCTCTATCATTATTCATATATTTCTCGGTTAGTTTATCATTTATTGGATCGTAATATTGTAAAATATCTATTAATCCAATCCAAGGCAATACCAAACCGCATGTAAGTTCGACTATACTCAGCAATTATAAAGAGAGAGAGACATACCATAATCAGGTATACCAGCTTGATGATGATCCCTGAAAAACTTCCTAACTCTCTCATGAGCAGTTTTCCCATCTCTTCTATCAACCTCATGAACGATTTCAGGAGGAGAAGTACCATCAGGAGAAGAATCAAAGAACCTAGAAAGTCCAGTTTCTTGTACCAAATGATTTCCAGTAGTCCAATATTCATGATACTTTTCGCTTGCTTTAATGGCTCTTCTTAACCAACTTTGAGAATGTTTAGTAGGGATCGTTGGATAGATTAGTTTGATTAATTGAGTTATGAAGGGGAGTTGTGATCGGTTTAGATAGTAGGTTCGGTTTCCATTTAAGATCATTCCATAATGTTCAATCTAAATTCATTCAAAATGGATCACTGTTGGTATCTTTTGGTATCTTGAATCGATTTATAAGAAAAAGAAACAAATTGTAAAAGACTCAACTTGATAAATATAATTGTCTAACATATTCTTGGCTAACCTGATCTCTTTATCTCTAATCAAACCAAGAACGATAAAGAATGAATCCCACCTGTAAAAAAAAGAACACATCTCATCAATAACATATCGATCTATAATGAAGTGAGAAGACAAAGCCAATCAAAATCAAGCACTCACGCATACATCTCTTGAAACACACCACCAGGTACCACAAAACTATACGGTAAATAAAGACTACCATGTTGATGTTGATCAAACAATTCTCGATTGACATCCTCAGGTAATTCTAAAACTTCCACTCCATCCAGTTCCCCAATCGGATTCAATCTAATCAATTCATCCCTAACCAAATCTAAAGTTATATCACCTTTCAATTTAGTATTCACAAACAATTTCAAAGATTTAGATTTCATTTTGGGATCTAAGATTTGATCTATAACTTTTAAATTAGATCTAGTCAAAGATGACCATTTGATTGAGATTTCTTTAAATAATTTGGTTAATTGGTTCATAGGTTTGTTGGAATTGATGATGTGTTGTTGTAGTTCTATTATTGATGTTGTGGTTGATATTGTTGAAGTGGGTGATGATAGTGATGAGGAAGATAGTTTGAATGGGATTGGTAATGTTAATCTCATCGTGTTCTTGGTTCTTATTGTGCTTGTGCTGAAGTTGTAGTCGAAGTTGAGGTTGAAGGTACAACAGGACACATGAGGTGCAAGAAAATTGGAATTCGAACTTGAATTCCACACAAATGTATTAATTTTTAATGTATTTTTTCTTAATGTTTTAATTTTAATTTAATTTTCATCAACTTCAATAAGGGACGGCTGCATTCACATAACAAATCCTTTATGAAATTTTTGAAAGCGCACAAATTGAGATACAGATAAGGAGATATAAACTGGTCCAAATTGGTATGTGACTATCCATGGTGTTGAAGGACTGGGGGAAGAGCTGACATTGCAATTCTTGGGCGAGAAGTATTTTACAATGTGAAGAGGAAATCAAATTCAAAGTATGTACATAGTCTCACTCGTATATAAATGAAAAGTAAACCAAGCTGCACGCTCTCATATTGAAAATCCTGAATGCGAGCCCCTCACGAGCGCGTTCGTCACTTGGCCATAAAATACCAATTTTACATCACAAACCCAAATAAATCCTTGCAACTTGAACCAATATATGAGGTACCAAAGTATTTAGAAAGATATAGAGTACAATATGTCGAGTTTCTGGAACTTTTTTGTGGAGTAAGGGAGCGGAAAACTTGGAAAAAGTACATAGGAGGACTCGATCCTTGGACAAGCTGGTGAAGCCTCAAAGGGCATAGTTAAGTTTGATGTAGAGTGTGGTTTGTTTAACAGAATCAAAGATCAATCTAGATCTTCAAACAGGTCAGGCTCAGCTTGACACCTTCAAACTGCGGGAGATCCTTCTCCAGGGCACCGAGCTTGCAAAGGTTCCCGTCTCAAGGTTCCTGCGAAAATTTGGCACTTGTGTTAAGTTAGTGTGCTCAGTTTTGCAACGACGGCTTGCGCCGCAGACAAAAGTCATTGTACAACAACTTGCCTGATAATACAAACGAAAGAACTTTGAAGCTTGATTGAATTGCACCTTTGCCAACCTTGTGAAGCAAAGTCTGCCAAGTCGATCAACTGCGCGGTTCAGGTTGCAGATTCAAACAAAGTAAGGGCGAAAAAAGAGTCGAGAGTCTAAAACCTCAGAGGTCTTGCTTTGAAATAATAATCATTCACTTCAACCCATTCAAACACTCAATTAGATAACTCAACCGTCCTTTATTCCTTATTAAAGACGTCAGTCAAAAACCCATTTTTTCTCAATCACTCATCAAATCAGTATGAACAAGGTAATGTTATCATGGGGATGGTACCTTATGATTTCATTCAGTCTTTGTGTGTTTACTCCAACAGAAAGGCGGATTGGAGGGGTAATTGAAGATGATGATTTGGTTGGACATCAAGTAGCACAACGCAATCAAATACACCACTCAACTCGTCTGACACCCCCACCTCGAACAGAATTGGATTTAGACAACGTGGGGACAAATGACGTGACATCTCATTATTACTGCTGCACAGAGCCTATGCGAGAAAAAATCAAGGAATTGGAAAACATTGTGCCATTGAATGAAGGATTTGAATATAAAACTGATAATTCGAGATCGCTTCTTACAAAAATCCGTGACCTGGCAACTCAAGCAATTGCTCTATGGAGGGGATTAAATGAGATTCCAAACCTTTGCGACAGTGCCAAAAGATACCCTTCCAGTATCAGTTCCATGGGCATAGAATTGGAGAACGTGATGATAGAAGCTCGTGGAGGGGTTCCAGACACGAGCAATCCGCACCTTAAAAAGATTTTTCTCGATGCTCTCAAATTTCTTCAAAGGGAAGATCTAGACTTGTATGAAAGACTTTGGACTCTGAGTGTCCTTAACTTCATTCGATGGTTCTTGGAAAAAGGAATGCCAAAACCACTCAGAGAAGATCCAAATACTGGTGGTGTTTGTAGAGGAGGATTGGAACTCTTTCTGTTGAAAGGTATGTGACGTATGATTATTGTTCTGGAAGGGATTTGCTAGTGTTAATTTTATTTTCAGGACTTCGCTATGAACCCAGAGTGAAGGGGGTGATGAATGGGAAGATACAAATTTTCCCTGTGGATGAAGGTGAGAGCCGTACCATACTTTTATTTGCATCTTGTGTGTCCCATCAAGATGCGAGGAGCTGATACGATGGAAATGATTTCAGCTGTTACTGAAGCTCTCAAGCGAGTTGAGCTCATTGTGACCATCAAAAATTATCTTTTGAAGATTGAAAGAAACCTCCAAACACCTGAATTGATAAAAATACACGACAAATTACTTCAAAATAGGTCCTTGACCAAAGCAGGGATTATCGAGTCATTGGCTTCACAATCTGTTCATCACACGTTTCTTGAAAATACACCAGATGGAGAGATTGAATGTTATTCCCGGATAATGCAACATCTAGAGTTGTTTTATCCGGTCACCACAAAGTTTGCCATCACAGAAGGTCTGAAGCAAGTCCAGCTGATCAAGAAGATCAGAAATTACCTTCAGGACTCTGACAGAAACCCTCAGACACATGCAATTAAGACGAAATACAATAAGTTACTTCAAACAAAGTCTATGGATGATGTAGTGATTGTCAGGTCATTGGTATTGGAAAGTTTGCAACACATGGACATCAACAACCCGGATGAGGATGTGGAATGTTTGTATGATATATTGCAATATCTGGAGACGTTGCACCCAAATTCCGAGCCGTTTAGAATCACAGAACCTCTGGGGCGAGTCCAGCTGATTATGAACATCAGAAACTACCTTCACAAGGCTGAAAGAAGCCTTCAAACAACTGCCATTCTGAATATCCACAACACATTACTTCAAACAAGCTCTTTAGACAAGCCTGAGATAGCCAAGTTGCTGGCATCACAATGTATGGATCACATGGTTCTTGACAATGCCCCACATGAAGAAATCCAATGTTTAGATCATATATTGAAATACCTTGAGAAATTCTATCCAATCACCGTGCCACTTATCAAATCAAGGTTATCAAGCAATGAACCGTTCAGAAAAATTCATCAGAAATTCAAGTCTCAAGCTGAATTGCAACACCATGTTAAAAGATACTCTGAGAAAGAAGACAAGGACCCTTACATCATGAGTCTCCTCTTACCCTTTATAGATGTAGGCTGGGACTCACTAGATTCATCTTATGTTGAACATTGCCTACATATATTGAATATCCAAGACACTGCACTTGCATCAAATAAAGGAGACCTCTATGGCTTAGACGATACAAAAGTGAAAAAGTATCATGAAGATCAAGACTTTTTCATTGAAATGATGTACAAAGCAAGTGTGTATATCAAAGGAATCAAAGAATATCTGAATACTCAGGTCCCAAAAGATGGTAAGAACTTATTCATTGATGTACTTCACATCACAACCTTGCTGTATTTGTGGGATACAAAGTAGATGCCCGGGTTTGTGCCTAGTTTCCCATTGGAATTTTTGGCTTTACTGGGGAAATGGGAAACCATACAAGCCAAAAACTACATCCAAAAATTCCAAGTTGGGAAACTGGGCACAAATCTGGATTTCCAGTCCACACCCCACAATTCATGATAGAAGTGATTCCCTATAGGCACTCTCACACATCTACTTGGATTTTGTTGATCCACAATTGGCAAAGATCCAGCTGAAACAAACTTGAAAGGCCACTAGAACACTGATTGTGTGGTCATCTTACAATGTCTATCAAATGACTGACCAAGTTTTTCCTTCTATAATTGTAGAGCAAAGTGGTCATTGCAAATTCATATCAAGTGTGTTCCTTGGAAATGAGATTGAAAGCTCTGAAAAGTGCAACATATGTCTAAGTGGATACCTGCAGGGGCAAAGAGTTATCAAATTAGGATGTCAGAGACCTCATGTGTTTCATGAACAATGTATAAATGTAAGTTGATGGATCTGTGAACTCACTTCCAAGATCAGCTATCATGATAAATTACTGATAGGGACTTTTTTCCTCAAATGTTTCTTATCCTTCTGGGTTGTAATTGAACATACAAATGCAGGCTGTAGTCTTCTTATCTGAAGGTGGGAATGTCAGATGTCCCACATGTATACGGGGATTACCTATACCATTTTCTCAAGAGGAGCACATTTTCTGGGGGCAACTTGAAGCTCACAACATTGGTTCATAATCCTGGCGTACATATTGCAACAGTTAATCCCACTGCTTAGTTTTGATGGTATCACCCTTGTCAGGGTGGCTAATTTTTAGGAGCCAAGTGCAAGTCATCACTTGATTCTTTAGCCTGAAAAAGCATCCTTCTGGTTACATGGGATCTCTGCTTTTGTTTCTTAACCTGAAATAAGGACCATGTTTGAGTTGAATGTGGACAAACCACAAGCCATTGATGATATTTTGAAGAAAAAAGACTCCAAGGCCTACTGTAAGTTAACAGATGTGAGATGCTCAGTCTTTAAGCCTGCTTGTAAATATCTTAGATGTGAAATCTAGAGTAGCATGCACCCAAAGACCAAAAAGACCTTGCCAATTTTGGTTTGCAAGAACTGAGCAATGACCAAAGAGGTCTACGTAGCTTTTAGGTACATACATAGAAAGGTTCTTGAATTAAATGAACATCATTTCAAAATCTAAGCTATTGGTTGGAAAGTACATAGGTACAATTGCACCCATAAAGGGAAAATTACGCATTATAATAGGAAAATCACATATTATATTTCAAGAGACTATTAAGGACAGTTTGGTGACTCTTTTGACTCAAGGGAAAATGGGTGAAGTGGAACTGAGATTTATATCTTTGGTGAGGTTTCTTTGGAACCAAGCTACACTACATGTGATCAGCTCATTGAGGGACATGTTTTTATAGCCTTTTGTATGACCATTGGAAATTGCAGTCAAAGCTATGTGGTCTATTTGGATTGTGATTAGGTAGGCTCATCTGCCACTAATTATCATATGATTGTGTTATTGATTAAGTTCAATGTCAACCATGTTTCAAGATACCAATCTGATATCTTTAGGTATTGTATTGGTCCCTTTTAGAAGATTTGGTTAACGGATTGAATCCACTTACATATATTCCTTCTTTATCAAATTAGTTTCTTACTATTTGGTATTTTCACCAAGTCTTTGAATTAATTGTCAAAACTGTGTTATGATGGCAATTGTCAATAGATTTTCAAAAGTGAATCTTTAAAGATCAATGATAAGTATCATCAACTTTCATCCAAAGTTTTTATAGCTCATATGTTAGTGAAGTGCTTATGGCTCTTTTTCCAGTTGAAGGAGCTCAAGTACTGACAACCCTTTTTTGAAGTATAGTGAAGTCTTCAAATACTCAGAATTCACAGATATGCTGTGTTGGGCTAGACATTTTAGAGATGATGAAGCTTTAATAATTCAAATTTAGCAATAAAACCAAGTAAATTTCCTATCTTATTTTCTTGTTCAAATTGTATTTTTCCCTCTTACCCACTGTTACACCCTGCCGGTGCCACACAGAGAGCCTAGCTGTTCAGAAGATGCCCTCCCAGCCCCTTGCACACATGTGTCGTGGCTTTGATACAACTAAGAAAAATATCTTATGGTTTATTACTATGGTGGCAGGCAATGCAAGAAATTCATGACATCAAAATATGTGGAAATCATATTTGGAAATGTAATATTTGTAATAGACGTGAAAAATGTGAAACTGATCTCAATGGAATTCAAGGATCCTTGTCCTCCCATATTGCTTGAATCTGTGAAAGGCAAACTCAGCAAAACCAAAACTACGAGTTGTGCATGGGAGACAATTTTTTTAAAAAAATAACAATTGTTGGGACAGCTGTACAAGGATTTAGTTCTCAGGTTGAGATTCTGCCTACTCCCTAAGGCTGATGTCATAAATCCGAATGTAACTGGTGTGGACATGACCCTGGTATGCCTGGTACACCTCTATAAAGGGTAGTCATCTGAAAATATGACTTTTGAGCTCCTGAAGAAGCTTGTGACTGACTTTTTCCATAGTTCTAAGACAAATTTGATCTTTTCAACCAACTGTATCACACCTTTAGCAACTCTGAAACTGGGGCACACATCAAGTCACATTCAAATATCTGAGGAATGTGTTAATCAAAGTCACAGAGTGCACATGACACACATCCACAGTGACTCTGAGAGCGCGTTCACTTAAGCGATTTCTGAGCAGAAATCGCTTTTTGTGAAGTTCAAAAATCGCATTCTACAGAATGCGTTCGTTTTCTTAATTTCACACATTCTATAAATCGTAGAATGCTTAAAAAAATCGATTTTTATGCGAATTTTGAGCTTTTAGCTAATTCTCATCATAGAAATCGCATTTTATTTTTTCGATGAAAATGGACAAGTCCACGTCCACCGTACAAAACCTTTTAAAACCATACTTTTCTGTATAACACCATACAGATTATTCCATACACTCCACCAAACCCTTCACCTCTTTGCCGATCACTCCTCATCATCACCTTTCTACATAATCGAACAAAAACTCTTCAATATCAAGATGTCTAGCAATGCCGAGAATTCAGCCACCAGTGAAGATGAATCAACCCTCAAGGCATCAAAATCAAAAAAACCCGACGTTAAATCAAAAAAAAATCAAAAAAAAATGAATGAAAAGAAGAAGCAAGATAAGAAGAAAGAAGAAGCTGATGAAAGCACTGGTGGCGCATGAACTCTACGAGAGTCCCTTTATTTCATTGAAGAATACTCAAAACAACTTGAGCTTGGTAAAGGAAACGACGGCGGCATCAAGTCGGACGCCTGGAAGATAGTGCGCAAGAACTACAACACGAAATTCAAAACGAATCACAAATTAACTCGATTTAAAAATCATATTCAAAAGGTTTGTTTTCTTCCTTCTTATTTCTTCCTTCTTCTTTGTTCTTCCTCACACGATCTCAATTCAACTTTGCTATGTATGTACAATCTCCAACTCAGCTCAAGACAACATGCAAGGCTTTCGACAAGATCAAAGACTCCTCAGGTGCTCCGGGAACTGATGACACCACTGGAACAGTTAAAGCTACAAAGGACTGGTGGGATGAATGGATTAAGAAGGTAAAACTTTTCTTTTATTATCTTTTATCGTTTTTTACTTTCAACCTTATTCGCTTACTATTAAACTTAAGTCTGGAAACAGCGACGCGATTCCTATCAAGAACGCCGGGTTTCCACAGTATCTAGCAGTATCACAAATTATGCCCGAGAAAAAAAATCGAGCCAATGGAGAAGAAGGTTTTGGGACACAGAGAAAGAAACACTACACCAAATGTCATCTTTACCGGGCGGTAAAGAAAACTACTGACATAGAAAAGTCCTGAGGGAACAGGAAGAGAGCTAAAAATCTGAAAAAATATGCACCTTGTTCCTAGATGTTGGGGCGTCATGATGAGTATTTTTTTGTATTTTACACGCAGATCTTGGTTGATGTACTAACAATAAACGCTGAAAATCAACAAAAACTCACATGTAACAATACCTGAAATTTGGGTCATGAGTATGAAGACAATATTTTGTGGTCTAAAAACTTCAATAACTTTTGCAATTCTGCTCCAAATAACTCAATTTTTGGTTCATTCAAAAGCTAAACTATTCTCCTTCACACTTCATAATGTTAGTAAGGTGCTATCTAGTCATTTAAACACTCTACATATGTTCAAACAGTTCTGCATGAATAGCTCTGTAGGATCTTTTTTAGACCAGCTACAGATGTGATGTCTCAATGAAAAATGTAGAGGAAAGGCTCACCTTTTTAATGCACTTCAAATCGAGTGATTTGATTCAGAAATGCAAAAGTTATTGATGTTTGAAGATTCCAAAATCCTGTCTTCAAAGTCAAGGGCCAAATTTCAGGTATTGTTACAGGTGGGTTTTTGATGATTCTCAGCCTTTATTGTTAGTACATTAACCAATATGTGTGTAAAATACAAAAAAATACTCGTCATGACGCCCCAACATCTAGGAACAAGGTGCATATTTTTTCAGATTTTTAGCTCTCTTCCTGTTGCCTCAGGACTTTTCTATGTCAGTAGTTTTCTTTACCGCCCGGTAAAGATGACATTTTGTGTAGTGAAACAACAAGTTGCACCTACCCCTCCACCCACTAATGCAGGTCATGATGACAACGATGAAGGTAGTTTTATTTGCTTCATTATCATCAGCTCAATCCGATGATCTCATTTACATTTTCCTTAGATCACGAGTCAAGTGGAAAATCTTCTGAAGGCTACAAACATTCTGATTCAAATCCCGAATCCGAAGATCAACTTCCACCTCCTTTAAAAAGGATGAAGGGCAAAGTAAGTTACCATATAGTGTATTCAATATCATACTGACTTGTACTTTTTGTACTTTATATTTACTTTTGATACATGTATAGGGTACTCGAGCAAAGCTTGCTGGGAAGCCTGTTGAAGAGGACGAGGACGAAACCCCTGAGTTGAAGTTTGTGCGCAGTAAGCGAAGTCCAATCCAAGGAGGTTCAGCATCAGTACGATCACGCACGACCGGCCCGAAGCTTGTAGCCAATGCAATGGATCGAGCTATTGAGTTTTCAGAGAAGAACAAAAGCGATAAGATCAGCATAGCCAAAATCAAACTAGAGCAACATCCCAAACGAGAAGAAGCTATGAGGATCTTCAATGCAGAATTTGCGACCGAGCTCAAGCCATGTCACATCAACAAAGTCGCCAGTAAACTCAAAGATGACGATACAGCATCTTTTTTCTGTCACATGCACGAAAATCACCGCTGGAACTGGTTGAAAGAAGGGGCAGAGGTTTTACAGGACTATGAATAGGGTTTATTATCAAAGCAATTGATGTATCAGATTATCTTCATCCCTTATTTTCTTTTTACATTCATTGTTTGTATCAATCAATCAATCTTTATCCATTATAAATATTTTTATACAAAACAAAACATATATTATAGTTGCAAATGGTACATAAGTAATGCAGATAATAGTATTACACTTTTGATTAATGCAGATAATTTCTTAAACCCTCAAATTGATACACCTTGAGATAAAACAGAGAGAGTTTAACAACGTTTGAATGAAAATAAGAGCTTTTGAACCACAATCAAATAAGAGCTTTTAAATGTGTCGACGAGCTGCAGGCGCATTCATGTAGTTATCAAACATCTGTTGAGCAAGCCTGTCACGCTGTTCATTGGCTTCATTACGTTGTCGGATGGTAGGTTCAGTCCAATCTGGCTCATCATCACGTGCAAGTCTTGATTCTAATCGTTCTTTTATCGCGTATTCTTCATAAAATTCATCTTCTCCCGACTCAATTTTGATTAAGTTATGTAAGACACAACAAGCAACCACTATCTTTACTTGAGTCTTGTAAGAATAAGATGGCATTGTGGCGAGTATTGGAAATCTCATCTTTGAGACGCCAAAGATCCTTTCGATGACAATTCGAAGAGAAGAATGGCGATGGTTGTATAACTCTTTAGGAGTCCGTGGTGTCAATCCGGAGTTCTTCCACTCCTTAAGATGGTATCGTACCGATCGAAAGGGAGTGAGAAAGCCCGGAACGTTCGCATACCCAGCATCAGCTACATAGAAGCGATCTGGAGGTAAGGGAACAAATCAGCAAGCTGATCAAATGAATCTAACAGTAAAAAACAAACGTACCTTCTGGTACAATGAATCTACCCTCCTCAAGTGCTTGATGTAGCACTCGAGCATCGGCGTAAGAGCCTTCCAAACCCGCGTATACAAACGTAAATAGCATGTTGAAGGAGCAGCCTGCCAATACATTTTGGCTTAAGTCTCCTTTGCGGTTTCTGTCAGCCTAAGTCAACAAATGCTGGATAAGTTTTTGAAGATAAGGTTGAATTTATTACTCACAAAAGTCTTTATGTTGATTCCTAGGTGAATGTCCTAGTAATCTTCTATGAAAGCTTTAGATTCTTGGTGAGTTATGTTTCTAAACGGGTAAGATATAGGTGTTAACTAGATCAGTCTTTGGTGCGGGATGAGATTACTGCTGCCAGTTAGATATATAGTACACTTACTATATAAATCTTCTGAAATGAACACGCGGAGCGTGGTTATGTATCAGGCTCGCTTCAGCGGTGGGTTTGATAAAGTTGCTTTATCAAAAGGAAGATGGAGATAAGAGCGCCAGTCAATTAGAACTACCTAAATGATCTGTGACGTGCTTATTCGACCAGTTATAGAAGAGATAAAGAGGAAAAGGGGAGTTTTGGTCGATAACCAAAGTAGAATATAAAGAAATCTGGTTAAGAAGTTTTCTAAAGATCTAATTGATAGTTTCGAGCGAGAGAAGTAAAAAAAAGTGTTCTTGGTAAAAAAGGTAAGGTTTTTCGTAGAACGGATTTAATTCGAATTGAATATTTATTTGTAAGATGATAAGATACCGTTCCTTCTTCTCAGGACCGGTCGTTGGTTTATATACTTGGTTGTTTTGATTCTCTCATTTCTTTCGTAATGATATTTTGATTACAACTAGGGTCCTTTTGGACTGGTTACAGGGAACAGACCCTTAGCAGTCTGTGATAATCATTACCCTAGTTATAACTAGGTACCTCATTTGTATTCTTCTGGTTCAGTTCCTAATATTTCTAAATATCTGTTTCGGTTACTATTGTTAAGGGTTTTAATGAAGAACTAGTTACTTGTTCTTTGATGAAATCATCATTTTTTATTTTATCGTTTTCTTTCTTACTGCACTCTTGAAACTCGAGTGTTAGAGGTGTAGTTTTATTTATGTTTTTTAGATGTATATATTTTTTATATGTTTTTTGTAGTTGGCTTGTCTACTCGTTGGAGGTTCTGCTCCGCAGAACCTCTCGCGGTTGACAGTTTCGATGTGCCGGTTGACGATCCGGAGGTACGATGCATGGGATATGGGTGCCATCAATGGCACCCACACATTTCTCAAAGTATGGGAACATCCAAGGGTTGTTCCTAATTTGTTTCGGACATATGTCGTTGGCGGTGGGTTGAACAATGTAGATACCTTGTAAAGATACAATTGCATTGAGAACCTCCTGGAAATACTTGCTGATGGTTGCTCCGGAGCGTTGGAATTGTTCTCCAGCGGTTCGATTAGTTCCAGAGTTGCCGACGATATATAAGAATATCATGACACGTTCTTCAGCCGCTACACTTCTCTTGCGGTGGATGATAAGCTTACCTTCAAGGGCTTTCATCAAGCCCTTGAAGGCCAGCTTATCCATCCGACAGATCTCCCAAAAACGTACGTCACTACCCTCAAGAACTTCTTTCGTATACTGATTTCCGCGGAGTTTTGAAGTTTGACAAGGGATCTTGGTGGTCTTTATCGAGGCGAGGAAGTCCTTGCCAGCTTGGATTACAAACTGGAGGAGGTCAAAAGGATTCTTAGAGAAGGCTGAGGACCTCGTGGAATCAGAAGAATCGGACATGATGGTTGGTGGTTGTTTGTACCACCAACCATTTTTGATCTGCTTAATGACCATCAAGACAAACACTGTTTACCGTCTTCTTTTGCTCTTTCTGTCATGGAAACGAAATTTCATTTTTTTTCACGAAAATCACTTTTCTACATGTAGAAAAGTGGTCTCCTGAAAAGCGCTTTCCAAGAAACCGGGCTAAGTGAACGGGCTCTGACTGTGGTTGCATGTGCACTCTGTGGCATTGATCAACTAATGTCTCACATATCAAAAGGTGACTCTGTTTTTGCCCCAGTGTGAAATGCTTTTTTGATGGCAGAAACCAGCAAAATATAAGGGCATGTTCACCTAGGGGATTTCTGACCAGAAAACACATTCTGTAGATTATTTAATGCAAAAACAAAACATGCACCACCACATAGATACTTCAAGTTTTGCAGAATGTGATTTCCCACCAGAAATTGCTTAAGTCAACGCTGAGACAGCCACGCTACAACACGCTACCATGCATTTTGTATGTAGCGTAACTGTATGCAGTTAACACAGATCTGACCTTTATGATAGTGTAACTTGTCAAGTTACGCTAAGCTACGAGCTACTGTAGCTGTGTTCTGTGCCTCTACACTACGCTACAGGGCCAAAATTTGGTTAGCTGGAGATTTTCTGGGACTCTGCATAGGGTAGCTGGGATTCATTCATGCTGATTCCTGCTAGCTGTAGCTTTGCGGCATGTTTCTAGCTACGCTATCTTGCGCTATCAGCTACGGGTAGATTAGCTGTCTCAGTGTTGCTTAAGTGAACGCACCCTAAGAGAGCAGTGTATAATCCCATGAAGTGTAATTCTACAGGAGCTCAAAAGCCATATTTCTAGATATTGACCTCTGACTACCCCTCATTGGGGGCATTCAGTTGCTGCTCAATATAGGCACACATTGAGTAAGCAGATTTTGCTATAGAAATCAAAATTTGGTGAAAAAAATACAAGGGGCTCAAATTGGACACTTTAGCATATATCAGGCTAAAAGCATTTTTATTCTGAAAATATGTTTACAAGGGGCACATCTGGTGGGTTTCATAAGCACAGCTCTGCATATTTTAGTTGTAGGTAACTAGTTATTTACTAATTGGAATATTGGATATAGGTTCTTTGAGTATGAATGATTGCAGTTCAGGTCGGGTCATTGTAGTCTCTTTACTCCCACGTAAAGATGACATCATCCTGTTTACCACAGAATTTGCCATTCATCTTTCCTTTACCTATATCATCCAGTTTTCCAATTCTTCAACTTCATTGTCAAGTTTCAGCAAGTCAGCAAGTTATTTTTTTGAATCCCACCCATTCCCACCCGACTGGTTTTAGTATATCTGTTTTTTCTTATTTTATTTAAGAATATTTACTTATACTTTTATCAATATAATCTCATTTTTTCATGAAAGTGTTCAGTTATAATGTATTCAATTAACAATATAAAAAATCTATCTCTTTCTTTTGATCTTCCTATAGTTCCTTTGGTTGTGGTTGAAAGCAAAACAATTTTATGTATCTTTTATTCTTTTAACTAAAAAAATGTATAGCATACAATAGTTATTTAAAACTGTGTTATCTTTTTATTTCTTTTTACGCATTTTTTATATTGTTGTTTCATATTATGTACCGCTAGCCACCTCGTAGGGTGTTGTTGGGTTTTTGGACATGATAATTTATACAAAAATGTACAGCCTAGTGTTGTTTATGTCAGTGTTGAGTGACTTCCGTAAGTACTTGACGATATTTCCAGCCAGATGTATGCTTACAACAAGAGTGGAAAATGTCTAAGAACTATAGTTTGCAAAATCAGCAGTACATGTGCTCTCAGACTCTCAGTGTTGAACTTGCACTCAGGTTCATCAGCTTGCGCCCATAGACAAAAACATATGTACCTTTCTTAAGCTTGCGGAAGGAAGTCTAAACTGCGGGTTCCAGGTTACAGAATCAAATGTAAAGTGCGAAGCCGAAGAGAGAGTTTCAAACCTCAAAGTCATTACGTGGAGATAATTCTTGTCATTGAATTTCACCGTCTTCATAAACACCCAATTAGACATCTCAACACTCCTTTATTCTTCATTTAAGACTTTGTTCAGCAACCCTTTCTCTTGATCACTCATCAAATCAGTATGAACAAAATAATGTTATCATGGGGGTGCTACTTAATGATCTCATTCAGTATTTGCACGTTTACTCCATCAGAGAGACCGATTGAAGGAATAATTGAAGAGCACAATTTAGATGGTTTGGTACTAGATCGTGTAGGACAAGAACATCAATCACACCGCTCAACTCTTCCGACACCCCCACCTCCAATGGAAATGAGTTTTGACGACGTAAGGATACCTGAAGAAACAGTTCATTTAGAAGGGAATAAGGAACCTAAAAACGACATGCAAGAAAGGATCAAGGCATTGGAAAACTTTGTGACATTGGATGAAGAATTTAAATATGAAACCAATCCAAGACCTTTGCTTTCAATACTTGGCGACATGGTCACTAGTTTACGATCTCCCTGGGTAGGAACACGTGCGATTGGAGAACTTTGCACTAGTTTTGAAAGATATCTTTCAAGAATGAAGTTCATGCTTCCAGGATTGATGCGTTTGAACAATGTTATGGGAGTTCGAATTGTGACTAATGAACAACTTGAAAAGATTATGGTCGATCTACTGGAATTTTTACAACAAGAAGATTTGGAATTGTATGAAAGACTTTGGTCTCTGAGTGTGCTTAGAAACCTTCAATTCTTGTTACCGATAGGAAAGGTGAACCCAATTAGAGAAGATCCAAATACAGGTGGTGTCTGCCGCGGAGGTTTGGAGCTCTTTTTGTTGAAAGGTATGTTGAAATTGATTCATGTTCGGGAATATGAGTATTGATTTCATCTTCAGAATTTGACTACAAACCTAGGGTGAAGGACGTGGTAAACGGGAAAATACAAATTTTCCCTGTAGATGAAGGTGAAAATCTTACTATAAATCTATTGCATCTTGTGTGACCCATTTGCGAGTAGCTGATAGGACGGAAATGATTTCAGCTGTTACTGAAGCTCTCAAGCGAGTTGAGCTGATTGTGACCATCAAAAATTACCTTTTGAACACTGAAGGAAACCTTCAAACGCCCGGATTGATAAAAATACATGACCAATTACTTCAAAATAGGTCCTTGACCAAAGCAGGGATTATCAAGTCATTGGCTTCACAATCTGTTCATCACACGTTTCTTGAAAATACACCAGATGGAGAAATTGAATGTTACTCCCGGATAATGGAACATCTAGAGTTGTTTTATCCGGCTGCCAAGCAATTTGGCATCACTGAAGGTTCGAGGCGATTCAAGCTAATTACAAAGATCAGAACTTACCTTCAGGATTTTGACAGAAACCCTCAAACACATGCAATTAAGACGAAATACAATAAGTTACTTCATACAAAGTCCATGGATGATGCATTGATTGTCAGGTCATTGGTATTGGAAAGTTTGCAACACATGAACATCAAAAAACCGGATGAGGATGTAGAATGTTTGTATGATATATTGCAATATCTGGAGACGTTGCACCCAAATTCCGAGCCGTTTAAAATCACAGAACCTCTGGAGCGAGTCCAGCTAATTATGAACATCAGAAACTATCTTCACGAGGCTGGAAGAAGCCTTCAAACAACTGCCATTCTGAATATACACAACACATTACTTAAAACAAGCTCTTTATACAAGCCTAAGATAGCCAAGTTGCTGGCATCACAATGTATGGATCATATAGTTCTTGAAAATGCCCCACATGAAGAAGTCCAATGTTTATATCATATATTGAAATACCTCAAGAAATTTCATTCAACCACCGTACCACTTATCAAAACAAGGTTATCAAGCAATGGACCATTTAGAAAAGTTTATCGGAAATTCAAGTCTCAAGCTGAATTACAACCTCATCTTCAAAGATACTTTGAGAAAGAAGATAAGGACCCTTACATCATGGGCCTTCTCTTGCCATTTATAGGTTGGCACTCAGTAGAATTATCTTATGTTAAACATTGTTTACATATATTGAATATCCAAGACACTGCACTTGCATCAAACAAAGGAGAACTATATGGTTTAGATGTCAGAAAAGGGCAAAAGTATCATGAAGATCAAGACTTTTTCATTGAAATGATGTACAAAGCAAGTGTCTATATTGAAGGACTTCAAACATATCTGGATCTTCAAGTCCCAAGAAATGGTGAGTACTTGTCCTTCTTTGATGAACCACACAAGCTTCAGACAGATTGTAAAGACCATTAAATCACAGATGATGAGGATCTTTACCAGATGGCTGACTAAGTCTTTCCTACTATGATTGTCAAAAAAGGGGCTGGTCAATATGAATTCATATCAAGTGTTCCACTTGCCAATCAAAAAGAAACACCTGAAAAATGTCAAATTTGTCTAGGAGGATATTTGGAGGGTCAAAGAGTTGTCAAATTAGGATGTTACAGACCTCATCTGTTTCATGAACAATGTATAAATGTAAGTCACTGGATCTGTGGATTCACTCACAATAAACAACTATGATGATAAATTGCTGATATTGACTTTGTTTCTCCAATGGTTGATATCCTTTTGGGTTGATATTTGAAATAAAAAATTAGGGTCTGGTCTTGGCATCTGAAGGTCTAGATGTCCAATGTCCCATATGTAGAAGGGACATATTCACACCATTTGATCAAGATGAGCACATGTTCTGGGGATTAAACTGAAAGCTCTTTGCAATATCTCACTTAGGGTGATGATGATCATGGAGTTCAGTAATTACAAAACAAATCATTCACTTACATACAATCATAATTGCTGCAATGAACCTATCATATGTCCACATCCAATAGCTTGAAACCTCATACAAAATCACGTCAACGATAAACCTGAAAAGAGATGCATCAAATAAATTCGAATTATCGATCTTTCAAATCGTCCCATCTTCCAACATCCTTTCCAATTCATTACAAGAATCAACTTTTTTCTTCGTATCTAATTGACTCTTTCCATTCCCATTTTCTAATCTTTTAGCAGCCAATCTAGCTGCAATTTGAGCAAATTTAGATCCTGGATTCGGTTTGTTTTCTATTGTTGTTGTTGATAACTCTACTTCGGAATTTTTAACTTCAATGGTTGATTGAAAACCTGTAGATTTAGTTGAACTGATGACAAATGTAGGTGCTGGTGTTGATATTAATGATGAAGTCGGATTCGCATTTGAAGAAATCGATGATGATGATCCAATCGGTTTAAATCCCATTTTCTTTTGAGGTTGTACTTCAACAGAACTAGAAGAGACCGGTTTAAATCCCATCGATTTAAAGCCCCCTTTATTGATCCCCGACTGAGTTTTCACCCCTGCTTGAGTTTCTTGAATCGGTTTCGGATTCGATGAAGGTTCAACTGTTACATTTATACCCACAGCTTTTGCCATCCTTTTCAATTCTTTTTCTTCCCTTTTTCTTTCTTTTTCTCTTCTACTTTCAATCGATTCATTTCCTGATTTTTTAGCTTGTTTAGCTTCTAATGCTCTACGTGCATGATGATGTGCATAAGATCTTTCATGTTCTTCAAATTGACTTATATTCGTATACCTAACCAAAAAAACATAAATCAACTCAACATCAAAAACAAAACCTCGGTGTTATCAAATTCAAAAAAAACTTTCACATACCCTTTATCACAAATCGAACAATAAAAACTTTTTAATCTATCTTCTCTTTCTTCTTCTCTTTCAATTAAAACTTTCACTTTTTCTTCTCTTTTGATTTTGTCTTCTTGACTTTCTTTTGATATTACGATTGATTCTAATTCTTTTGGTTTATTGATGGCATTTGATAACATATATTGATCTTGTGTTGATTTGCCTAATCCAAGTAGTGGAGTTTGTGCTGGTGTTGGTATTGGATCTTTTCGACCTAAATAACCCAAAAAAGAAATTCGTAAACATTGATATTATGTTGTATCTTGTGATTTTTTGGTGGGTGGGTTGATATTTTGTTTTTTGGGGGGTTGTACTTACCATCGTTCATCATACCTAATCCACTACCTTGAGTCCATCCCATTTTCAATAACAATAACATTCCTTTATTATTCATATCTAACTTTTTATATTCTCCTTCATTTTGCTTAGTTTGTTTCGTTTTACCCTTAGATTTTGAACTTGTTGATTCTTCTTCTTCTTCCACTTTTTCCTCCTCAACCTCTTTTTCTGACGAGCTTATGATACTACCATATCCAGAAGATGAAGAAGATTGAGATTGTGAACGCTAGATTGGATTGAGATAGAACGGAAAAAAGCATAGAGGTAAAAAGTATCCTTTTATGTTTTCTTTGAGACTTGATATCTTCTTCAGTGAGCGATATAAAAGAGGTAAAGTTTAGTTTACCTTTGATCTATTGTATCTTGATGCAGCTTGAGCGAGTGCTTCGAGATTCATGATGATGATGATAGTTTTGTTTGAGAAGTTGGTAGAAAGTTGATTGGGATAATCGATAATTGCGTTGGAGAAGCAGTTTCAGAGAAATCAGTAAAATGCAGTTTGGTAAGCTTGAACGTGGAAGATACAGTTACAAAACTCACTTTCTTTTGAAAACCAACCACCACTAAACCAAAATTAAGGACAGCGATCAGCAGCTCAGCATCCCTATCTAGTATCAACCAACTCATCAAAGTCACAAGCTGTTGTTCGGAAGCGATCAAACATATATCATATCATCCCCCGATCAACTTTCACTCTCAAAAATCAAACGAAACCTCAAGAACAAATACAGTAAAGATACATCTTCTTTCGATCATAACTCAATCCTAGTAAATACGTAAAAGAAACAACTCGATCAAATTTTAAAATTCAACCATGGGCAGAAACGGTCAATATGGTGGTTATTTTAAAGGTCTAGATGGGTTTGGAAAAGTGAATCTTTCTCTTTGATCCCCAAAAAACTGGATCTTTACTAACCAAACTTATTGGATTCTAATACTATTTACTTTTGGATATAAATAGACTATGGAAGATGTAAAGATACGAACTGGTTTCGGTGGATTTCGTAAGTAATCTCAATCCAACTGAAAAAGCTCACATGGAGATCGATCATTAATGTTAATTCTTTTGGTTCTATAGTTACTTTAGCATCAGCAATTTTAATTGTGACTTTAGTTTTAGTTGAATTTGTAGATTATAGAACATTACATTTAAATCCTTCAATAGTAGTAGATAAATCTAGAGGTGAAAAATTAATTGTAGATATGAATATTACATTTCCTAGAGTACCTTGTTATCGTAAGTCATGGTTCTTGATCCGAAAGTTATCAAATCTTCATTCACCTAATATTGTGCTTTGTTTGTTCTGCTTGCAGTACTTAGTGTGGATTTGATGGATATTAGTGGTGAACACCAAAACGGTACTTTCAAATCTCAACTCATCATTCTCTCCATATCTCTTCTATTGATAAAAGTGATTTCTGATTTACTTTGTAGATGTTAATCATGATATGACGAAAACAAGACTTAACCCTGATGGTACTTTAGTCAGTGCTAGCGTTAGTAAAGGTTAGTTAGTATCATCAGACTTTGAATTCTTTAAACCAACAAATCAAACTAATTGCTGTTTTCAATTTCACGCGATCTTTACGCAGGTCTTAAAGGAGAACTTGATACAATTGCTGCAACTCGAGCTCCAGGTTGTAAGTCAAACCTCGATCAATTCAATGCTCTAATCTAACAACATTCAAAAACCTCCTTTCCCTTTATTCCTGACCATTACGCGCACTCGAAAAACGATATTTTGAATTCTCACTTTTGAATGTCTCTGATTTGGTTGGTTGGTAGATTGTGGTTCTTGTTATGGTGGTACACCACCTGAATCAGGATGTTGTAATACATGTGAAGAAGTCAGGGAAAGCTATGTCAGACGTGGCTGGAGTTTTAGTAATCCAGATGGAATTGAACAGGTAAAATGAATTAATTTTTCCACCAAAAAACAAAAATGTCATTTTCAATCGAGGTATTTTACTCATCTATAATCTTGTTCATTGTCATTTGTTTTTCAAATAAGCAAGTGCGTACAAGAACATTGGTCAGATAAAATTAAAGAGCAAGAAAAAGAAGGTTGTAATATGAATGGACAAGTCAAAGTCAACAAAGTGTGCGTTCTAGATTTCCTTCTTAAAAGTCAGGACTTGGAACTCAAATCTAACTTGATTTTTTTTATCTTTGCTTGAATTGATCAGAATTGGAAACTTTCATATGTCACCTGGTCGATCATTTCAAACCAACGCAATGCATGTACACGATTTAGTACCTTATTTGCAAACAGGCAATTCACATGATTTCGGTCATATCATTCATAAATTTGCTTTTCTTGCTGAACATCAAAGTCCAGATGATGATGAAACTCGTCGAATTAAAACTAGTTTAGGTATTGTAAATCCATTAGATGGAATCAAAGCACATACCGAAGAGAGTTGAGTATCTCATTTTTCTCTTACCGAAAAAAAACTCGATTTGTCAATCAATCATATCGTAGAAAAATAACTGATGTTTGTGGTTTTAGGTAATTATATGTTCCAATACTTTTTAAAAGTGGTTGGAACTGAATTTCATCTTTTAGATCAAAGAGTAGTCAAAACTCATCAATATTCAGTTACACAATATGAAAGAGATTTAACTAAATCAAGTCGAGGTGGAACAGATGAATTAGGTCATCAAACCAGTCATGGTTATGCAGGTGTACCTGGTTTATTCTTTAATTGTTGGTTCCCTTTCTATTTTTCTCTTAAGAGATAGACAAGATAAACTGAGTTCTGGTTTGGATTCAATAGATGAAATCTCACCCATGCAAGTGATTCATAAAGAATATAGACAATCTTTTGCACATTTTGCTACTTCTACTTGTGCAATTATTGGGGGAGTCTTAACGGTGGCTGGGTTGATTGATAGTGCAGTTTATGGTGCTAGAAATCGAATCAAATTACAAAGTTCAGATGGTGGATTCGAATCTCATTCTAGGACTGGAAAAGTAAGTCGGTTTTCTATTCTATCTCTTTCCTTTTTTTAGAATATGATGATTGATTTTTTCGAGGATTTTCTTTTGTAGTTTTTGTAGAGGTAAAAAAGAATGATCAAGGGCAAATTGAGTGCATGGGGTTTTCATTGGGTATAGAGAAAGAGAAAATGAATGTGTTTATTTTAAAGAAAATCAAATGAAATCAAAATGGAATCTTATATATATCATATATCTCTTTAAATGAATGCTAACTATGTGAAAAGAAAATAAATTTAAAAAAAATAAATTTAAGAAAGGAAAAGAGATATAGAAATAGAAATGAAATTTAAAAATAGTATTGTGTGCCAAGCACATACACGTCTTGAGTGAGGCTCTCTCATTTTTGTTAAACAAGGAAAATTCTATGCAGCAGTTTGCTGTAGATAGAATCGTATTTGACTAATTTCTAAAGTTGAAAAATCCACCTGACTCTAGAAAAATGGAGAACAAAACATATCTAGACAGAAATCTCTTTAAATTTTCAGAATGATGCCAAACTTGGATGACCAAGGAGGTACAAAATTATATATTTTACTGTTGTCAAATGCACAACCTTGGGCAAAGGGAGTCAAAGAGAATGAAATAGAAATCACAGAAAAAAATCGGATCCCCTCATTTTTTATTCTTGATGGACATCAAAGAAACTTCTTTTTTTAATAATAATTTGATGCCTAGAAGCTCGTAATACCTTTTCAAGGCTTCTACTACTTCCTCTGTTTCCTGTAGCGCCTCAGGCCAATGGATAAATCGCCTACGGTTACCTTGAACTTCATTCTGTGAGATTGTTAACCAAGTTTTGAATCGGGATATATTGGCCAACGTGAGACCTACAAAGGTGGCTGCCAAAGCTTCATCGCGTGAAATGAGTTCTACGTTTGATTCTGGTTTCAAATTCAATGAAGCCTTCAAGTCTGGCAATACTTTATGTGATGGTCTGGTCTTTTTTCCTTTCAAAGCCGTGAGTAATAACTTGAAACGATTGGTGACGTGTTTTAGCACTTCAGGATCACTATTGATTAATTGTTGAAGATGTGAATTTATCCAACTAACTTCGGCTTGTGAGTAAAGGTATTTTTCAGTGTCTTCAGGTGAGCTCGGCGATTTGGTAGGCATTCCAGCCAAAACATACAACACCTGTGAATATTTGGCGTCCAATTCATCCTCGTGAAGTCCTTTCCACGTGACTTCTGGTACAGAAAGTTCTAAGGCAGTCTCAAATTGGCGAAACCTAGGTATGTAAAGCCCTTGCTGGCAAGCTTTCTCTAAAAATTCTTTCCCGAAGAATCGACAAGGGCTTTGTTTCTCCAACTCATGGCTCCTCAGACTGATCATGATACTTCTAATATTGATGGAATCTATGAACGGATAACTGGAAAGTTCATTTATATCTGAACCTTTCATCACCTCGAGAGTTTGTTCAAGAACCTTGATCTCCTCCTGAGTACTGTCAAGGAACATCTCGAATGGGTCTTCAAAACGTAGTAAAGTGGCAAATTCTCTTCCTTCCTGACTCCATGTGTGTTTCTGTTCTTTGAATATCTCGCTATCCCTTCTCAAAAGGTATTGCACAAGGAACGCCTTTTTACGACGAAGCAATTCAGAAGGTTCAATCCAAGTATATGTATCCAGCAATACCTCGTCAATCAGGTTCAGCCAGAAACTTGTATTATATATCATTGGAGATTCTTTCTCAGCACGGCGAAAGCGTTTATATGTTTCAGACTTTAACTTGAGCTCCAAGAGAGGTGTATGATTATCTAGGCAAACAAACTCTTCTATCAGAGTGTGGTACCAAGGATGGCTACTTGAAGACGGAACATCACTCTTGCGGTGAGCTTGAGAGATAAATATATTTTGAAGTCTCTTTTGAACATTCTTGATAAGCTTTTCATGCTCTGTTTCGATCTTTTCATCCGCAACAGATGTTTCTTTCAAGGCTTTCAATAATTCTGTGTCCCAATTTTCGTCAACCACTCTACTGACATTTGAATTTGAATTTGCTTTGTTCTTTTTCTTATGTTTTTTACTTGACTTTTGTAGCTTTGCTGATAATTCTTTGAAAGGTTGTAGTGGCTTAAGGGGATCTGACGAAGATTCGTGTTGAAGCTTTGGAAGTTCACTGATGTCGGAACCTTGGGATAGATTTATTTTACTGATTTGATTGCTCTTGACAGTCTTTTTGGGTATGATCCAATCGTCTCTACCCTTTGACGTCTTCCCTCGAATTTCTGTCTCTGGTATGTTGAACCCTACATTGTCACTTGATTGATACTCATGGTGATTACCTCTGGGGGCTTCTTCTGGTGCCTCCATCAACGGTTGATTCTCAGTTCTCGAGTTAGATTTCAACGGATCCAAAATTTCATTCCAGGGTATCTTTGGAATCTTTCCTGAGCCAAGATGTGATTCGATCCTAGTTTTGACGGGTGGCAATGGTGTTGGTTCTGACAAACCCAGATGGTGCTCTTTTTCTTCGAGTGTTTCTATCCTCACATTTACTGGCTTCAAGCTCTTCTGTAGGCGATGAAAGTCTTTATTCTTGATATTCGAGCTCCCCGTAAACTTGACAAACTGGGTAGGAGATTGGTCTTTCCTATAAAGTTTTCAAAAAGAAGTCTATATTCTATCCTTGATCTCAACAAAATGTTGCAAAGGAATCACTCACTGCGTTCTTTCCTCTAAACCAATTGAAGTGGGTTCAAAGTGGCTTATGCTGTCTTTCTTTGATTTTCCATCCCTTGTACTACCAGCCAAACATTCTGGAATAAGTATCGTAGGGTTTTTTGTTCTAGAAATGTCAAAGTGGTCACCTCATGTTTTCTACCACGGAGCTTTGATGTCTCTGTTGAATTCGCACATCTTTCGTCATTGGAAGCGTTTCCAAATTCATTGCCTGCTTGTCATGCCTGAATTTCGTTTGAAATTCGAAAACAAAGGAGTTTAGTGTCACAATAATTTTAAAACTAGTTTGTTGCTTAAGAAACATTTACTCAAAGCGTCCGGCCATTGCATCTGTTGTCTGATGCTTTAGGGATACATCACTTTCAGCATCACAACTACTCATATTGGAAAGCCTCGACTTTCTATGATTGTAACTTTGTCTGGAGGGTTCCTTTTGTCCGCTGCTTGAGAATTTTGTATGTAAAAAGCGGTATGTTTGGTCATTTAAAGCTATTGTCAGTCGGAATTGATACTCACCTAATATGTTTGTTCTGTTTATCGATGTGCTGCAATAAAACTTCCGGTTGCATTTCCATGATGTTATGGTATTGTTGACCAATATGTTGGACTGGAATTAGGGGTTGCAATTCCAAAACCGATGGTGTGAAAACAGGAACCATCACACCAGCCATTGCTATCCTCTGCACAGGTCTAGACCGATCACCAGAATTACTTTTCACTCCAGAGGCCAGATCTTGGAAGCATATATTTGGGGAATATCATTGAGCAGGTAAGAAGGACTTAGTGCTGACTAGAGGTTCGGAATAGGCTCTTTTTAAGTCTCGAGGAGAAAATATCATACCATGTGGATGATTTGATCCACTCCGTTGATCAGTTTGAGGAACACTTCTTGGATTGGATATTTTCTGTGGACCAAATTCTGGTGCATAGGCCGATAGCATGTTGTTTGAATTTGAACCTCCTGGACTCAATTGTCCATCAACAGAAGGCAATCCTTCTTTGAAATCTTTGTCATTTTTCAAAACATCCTTCACAATCTTTTTGTTTCTTCGGTTTATGTCTGTTCTTCCAGGACGGATCACATTTGTCAATGAATTTCTCGCGTCTTGCGGCAACAAAGCTCCAGAGTTTTGGTCAGATTTTTCAATGAATTTTAATTCTATAACACCTTCAGAATTGATGAGGAATCCACCAATGGGAATGAAGCAAATCATACATGCTAAAGCATGAAGAAATCCAATCTCTGGTCTCCAGGTCTGCATAGTGTAGATATTGCAGGAGATAGACAAAGATAAAGGTAGAAGAGGACAAGGGCTCTAGAACAAATGACCTCCAGTAATCAAACAGTTAAAATTTTGAAGACAGTTTCACAATAAATGAATCAGGAAATGTTGAAACTTTCCGGAAAATTTCATCTTACACCACATCACTAAAAGTAAAGGACCTTTGATACATGCTCTGAGATTATAATACTTCTCTGTAGCCAAAAATTCTTGATGATATCTATATGCTCAAGAAACTTACCACCTTCTTTGATATCAAAAGTCGCACCAATTTTCACCAAACATACAGGGCGATACAGGTTTGTGTTTTGGGTTTTGAGGTTTGTCCTCCACCCTCCTCCACCCTCCTCTCTTGTCCATCGTACGTCTGTGGGATGCTTTCTCCCATTCGCCTGTTCGCCCACTTTCGCCGGATTCCAACGATACTCGAATTCTCTGTCATTGTGGAATCTTAACTCTGTTTTCTCGACTTACTTTTGTTCTCGTTCACTACATATGTACCCTTTTCCATACCATTGAAAACATTTGAAATCCCCAGTAAGCTCAGAACATGAAATGGTGGCACGGTGCACCCGCCGCTCAATTGGCTAGATCACAAAGTCGCTGTGCTTGTGATTGAGGTCTGTTGAGTTCCTCTCCGCCCAAATTGCGGCTGTTAAATTAGTCTCGCAGGAGTCCACTGCCCTATAGCATGCCATCAAATCACATAACAAATTCACTCCCCCTCGTGAGGCTTCGGGGAGAGACTTGGCTTAACAAAGCCCTCTCCGCGCGCCCGCGACCACGCAGAGGGGCTTATGAGTAAGTGATTGTTCAGGGCTTTGTGAAGACTTTGTGGGTTTTTGCAAGATCCGAGTCATGGTGGGACTCTGTTGACTTTACCTGGACACCGGTTTCCGCCGATATGCCCAGCCCGGATCATATAGCGGCTTTTGGCCGCAGCTCTTCCGGAGGCCCCAGGGCCCAAAGTCTTGGCAACTTCCATTCCTGATGGAAGCTGATGGAAATGTTTGACACATTTCATGAAGTAGCGGTAGACTTCAGTACAATGGATTGTGGGCTGAATTGCTCTCTCTTGCTCTTTACCTTGCTTAAATTCGAGTTCATTTGAACGGCTGGAGCCCGCCGGAGCTTGTCAATATCTCACAACGGTTGATGAAGTTGATGCGTTCGTAGTTTTGCGAGATGTGCATCCTTTGGTCACTCGATTTAACCCATCAAATTTCCTTTCCTTTCGTACTTATCATATACAACCACACACACTCAAACTTCGAGGGGAAAGGCTACATATCCCGATGAGTATCGAGCCAACGGCTACTTCTCCGTCATGGGAGGTTTTGTACAAACTGGCACGCAAGCAGATATATCCACACCCATCCTCTCTCCAGCGCTCAGTCCTCAAGGCATCGACCGTGCTGTGCCCCCTGATCGGGCTATTATACACAATAAGCGGTCTAAAACGGCTCTGTGATAGAGACACTCGATGGCTCGTCAGGGTAGACCGCGGCGGATACATGTATCTAAACAGCCATTTGGTCATCCCGATTTGGGGATGTATTTTCACGGCTGGTCAGCTTCGAAGTCAATTCTGATGTGAATACGATGTAACAATTCCGCTTTCCACATGTTTCCCACTTCTAGTCAATCTCGCAGTCCTCGTATGCAAGCAAATGGATTTCTCATCTTTTCCTAGGTGGCATACCTTGGTCCTGCAGTATTTCACACATCCTGTCTTGCTCTGTTTTGGTGAGTCTTGCAGCATCTGTTGATTTGACAAACAACATTTTGGACAGCGTCAAAGTGTATTAGTGATGAGCAGTTATTGATTGAGCATTATTTGTTCGGCCAGGTTGGTCAAGAAGTAAGGGTTTTTGTCTCGATAGTCCTCATCACAATCTAATGTTTGGCTTTCTCGCGCGGGAAAAGCCTGGTCTTTCTGCTACGCGGCGCCCCCAGCAGCTTTTCAATTGGATCTCCGGCGGCAACCCACGTCGACAAATTTTAACTATCGCAGATCGTTGGGACCGAAACTCTTCAATGTCGGTAATATTGCGATGTACATCATCCCGTTTATCTACATCTTGCCTTTCACGATAATCAACGCCAAGAATGTTCATAATATCCATCGTGTCTGGGTGGTGTGTGTTCGGAAGCATGAAATTTTAACATCATTACACAGCTTACCAGGATCGGAAAACTCTTCTGAAGTCACAAATCTTACAAATCTTCTTCAATCCGATATGATTCGGCGACTAGGCACTGTTCAAGCCCTTGGCGAGGACATTTTGCTTAATGCGCGGTATATGTCTTTCGGCTTGATGATTTTTCTAGTAACATTATTGTGCGCCTTTTCCTCAGCGACCTGGCGGATCATGGACGCACTTTGGTCACAAGTCAGAACGCTTCGAGAATGCGCCTCACGTAGACGCTTATTGTCAGCTGCAATCAACCAAAACATTCGCCAGGAAACCCCTGCATTCGAAGAATTGACTGACCAAATATATCGTTGTCACCAAGGGTCGGTATGGCACTCCGAAGTGACTGAGTCGTTATGGCAATCCCGTCTGTTTGAAGACCGCCGAGAGGATTGGGAAAAGGTCGATGAGCTGATACTGAAAGAAAAGCATGCTTCCCTACGGCGTTATGCTTCTAACGCTCTATGTCAAGCGATCTTGGTCATCGTGACTGCATCAGCGTATCTGTCACTCATCATCATTACGGGCAAGTTCGGTTCACTTTCACCCAAGCACCAAAAATGCGTAATAATCTGAGATCATTTTGCCTCATACCCAACACTATGTTTAGTCACCAATGCTCTCAATGTCCCTCTTCGTACTCGACTCTTGGATCTGCAAGTGATCATGATCGTATGGCACAACGTCATCTGGAATTGCGGATTGGGTATCTCTTTGGGTGTGGTTAGTAGTTTTGTGCATAATCTTGTTGCACCTCATGTGTAAAAATTCACTCCACCTATGTCTGATGGTGGTCTCTCATGATCGACGCAACTGTGACTTACCAGATATCATGCGTCATGGTCTTTTCGCCTACACCATCCCCGATACAAGAGGAGCACGCTCTCAAATCTCTTTATGATGAGGATTCCTGAATTTTTTTTCACAGCTACCGGGGGGCTCAGTCGCTCCATACCCACTCACGACTAGTTTTGTTTTTGTCTGATCCATTTTCTTGTAGTCTCTTCTTGATGTGGATACTACTTCATTGAGACTACCAGCTGGCAGAATGCGCACGGCTTTGAATTGTCATATCAGGAAGCTTTACGAAGTCGCTATAGGAAAATCTCACTTTCATTATCATAGGCCTTGACTATTTTCTTTTTCTTCCCTATATGGCCAATAAATTGTGTTTTACAAAGCTTCTGTCTGGTTTTTGATGTAAGGGTTTTGATCTTTGAATAGGGTTCTGATAAGTCGTACGTTTGTTTCAATGTTCAATGCGCCAAGATCATACGTAGTAGTTTCTCTTTGTGTCCGAGACGTTTTCAACTCAAATATCCGGGGTTTGTCCCACTCTAATATCCTCTCAGATTCGTTCAAAAGCACAGCACGTGAACAACCAAGCCAAATAATTCAAAACTTAATTCAGATTGAAAATGAGGCTCTTGACTATGTGATCAATGTCACTTCACTCAAGCTACAAAGTCAGTTTCAAGACATTGTGGACTTCTATGAATTTTATGTGCATCTATATCATCATCTGGGTCAAAAGAACAAATGTTGTGAGAGATCCTTATCACTACATCAGAAGTATATTTGTTTGGTGGTGCACTTTGAATGGTATGGGTCAAGACTTAAATTTCAAACACTTGACCATCAGGTAAAATCATTCTATCTATCATATGGTGTTATGCTACAAGCATTTATGAAGTGCAAAAACTCATAGTTGCAACCATATCATAAATAATATTCTTTTGAATTTAGAACTCTCAGCACATGAGATCTTGTGGAGGGACTGTTTTGAACTTGTATTTTCCAAAAAATGCATCAGAAGGATATTACTGATACCTATGGTCCTGGACATGGAAGACTGAGTCTATGTAAATTTAGAACAATTGGACTCTTGGGCTGTGTTCACTTGTGCAATTCGTGGTGAGAAATTGCATTTTGGAAAGTCAGGAAAATAGTGGCTCTGAAAGTAGACCTGGTTTCAAAGAACTCAGTTGACCCGTTTGACTTTTTGGCTGTGAGCTGTCAACAAATGTCAAGTTGATACACAAAGTTACTGCCAAAAAGCAACTGGGTTATTAAACTGGATTTTCTTGAAACCAGTTCAATTATGGGATACAAAGTTAAAACTGGGAGTTTTTTCCCAGTTTCCCAGTTTTCAAAATACAGCCAAAAACGCAGGCTGGGAAACTGGGAGAACGTGGGAAAGTTCCAAACACAGCCAAAAACAAAAACTGGGAAACTGGGAAAAAAATCTCAGATTTAACTTTGTATCCCACAAATTTTGAGAGCCACTATTATTCTGTGGAATGTGTTCAATTTTATTGTTTATTGACAAACATTCTGTGATGTACAGAATGCTTAGAAGATGTGAGTTTTTGGGACGTTGTAAGAATTCACCAACATCAAATTTTCCCTTGAGAAGTCACATTTGTGATTTCTTGAATCTTTTGTTACAGCATTGTAACAACACCAGACCAGCAGCACAGAGAAAAGCTGAAGTGCTGCTTTACCAAGCAGCAATGTGCGGTGCCCGCCAGTTGGGCTTCAGGGTTTCTCAAAACCCTGAAGTGTGAAGTAAGCAGCACTTTCCGAAATGTAGCTTTGGATATTATTTTTTCTGCAGCACCCCTGGGCCTAGAGTCACGCTTTGACACTTGCAGCACCTGAGGCGTACTATACCCTGCTTCCACCTCACATTACTACTGAATCTGTCAAGTATTGTTTGAAAACAATTCCCTGACACAATATTTATCTCGATATTGCAAAATGAAGAAATCTTCTGTCTTGGTTGGTATCAAGATGTCGAAATCTATTGGTATCCACCTCTTGATGCTGCCACACTTTCATGTAGTCTACCCCTTGCACAAGCCCCTGGCATCATGGACTGTTCGCAGTCAACCATTTAACCTTTATTCAACTCGCAAAGCACACTCTTCAAAGCCACCAGGCAGACACTTGAAATTTAGTCACCTTCAAGATTCAGAATTGAATCCTATTGTTTCACTTTTTGATCTAATCTCTTCTCATTATCAGCTACAGACTTATTACATTCACTGTCACATGATTGTCTATCTCTTTCTTAATCTATTTGGTTATAATCTTTTGATCAGTTTGTCTACCTCTCTTATCATGCCTCTACAATTGAAACTTGCCTTTGGACCGTCTCAAGCACAATTGGGTGGAAGTGGAAGTAATGACAATTGGACGCCCTCATATACTCAACCTTGGCATCAAAGGCAAACACCTTCACATCACGGAAATCTGATCTCCCCCAGTCCAGATGGATGAAACAGATTCAGAGGAAGAACATGTCCAGACTGAAAAGAAGAAGAGAAAAAAACAGCAAAGAAAAGAAAGAAGACCATTGAAAAACAAGTTAGCCTTTCCAATGATACTGCTTGCCTTAGATCACCAATCAAATCTTCTGACCTCTGTCCTTTTTTAACAGCCTGCAAAAACAGATCCTGGTGCAAGTTTTGTTACAAAGGAAACTCTTTGTGCCAATTCCGACATCAAAAATGATAAGGTTAAACCCCAAGCCACTAAATTGGAGAACTCAAACCTGCATGACTATTATGGGGTACCTGATTGGAAAGAAGGAGACATGAGTAGTTTGAACATCGCCTTCCTTGTTTCATCTTTTCAATAATTATTTTCTCTCCTTTGCAGAACTGTGATCTGCCCCCTCTTTTATATCCATGTTATTGGTGTGCACCCAATAAGAACCACCCGACTATTGTTAGAGTCAGCATCAGCATCTTGACAAACAATCTGAAATGTCACCAAGATGGTAATCCAGCACCTGGTTGGTCTAAGACTGGATGTCATGGCCAAGTCCAAGCTTGTCAATTGGGACTTCAAATACCTCCATCACTTGCAGAGCTGGCACATCAGGCCAAGGTTGCAAAGAAGCAACCGGGATCTTTGTCTTCTTATGTAAATGTAGGTCAGAAATTCAAGTTCAATAACTTGACTTTTAACTTGACTTTCAACCAGATGTTGTGTGTGTGGATTGTTTGCCAAGCGCTACCATGGTCTTGAATGAACAACATGTGGCGGCCAGCGGCAGTCCAATTCTTAAGGCCTGATGCACGTATGTATGGTCGACACTGGGTGGCAGAAGAGGCAAAATGGTTTAATCTTTCAATGAAGGACATTGTTTTTGATGAACTTAAGGTCAGTCCAGTCCTGAAGTATAATAATAACAGTTGGGAATATTACTAATCATTACCTACACAACACAGAACTTGAGTAGTAAAATCTGCCTTCAACAAGACATGTGGACAACCAAAAGAAACCGGCATGGTTTCATAGGCGGTGCGGTGACCCTTATTAACAACAATTGGGAATTTGAAACTTGGCATCTTACACTTAAGCTTGTTGCTTGGCAACACAAAGGAAAATGGTTAGCAGAGCCTATGGTGAACGTCTTAACCAAACATGGGTTGGTAAATAAGATAAGTCATCTTCTATTTTGTTTATTCATCATCTTCTTTCAACCTTGTCTTACCTCTTGCAAGACCATCTCTACCTCCTTTGCCAGACCACCGACTCAGGATCTAACAACGAAACGCTGGCCAGGGAGATGAACTCCCAGTTTCTCGACTCTGGCAACATCTCCACGTGCACCTGGAATCCCCATACCATGCACATCTATTGCTTCTGCCATAATATGGCATTGATCGTGGGGGCAGGTCTGGCAGCTCTTGGTATTAAAACACCAAGTGTTTGAAGAAGACGAGTGGGACAATGCCAAGGCCAAAGATGAGGCTAATCCTATCCTTGTTCTGGAACAAGGAGCACAACCAAATCATTGTTGTGGAGCAAACAAGCTTGATGTGCTTCTCACCAAGGTTTCCAAAGCTTTTCTGCATAACTTTAGTATTATACTGACACCTCTCTTCCACACAGATTGATTTTATTCTTCGTCGTATCACCAGATCTTCAGCATGGCGAAAAGAGTTAGATTGTGTCAAGAAAAGCTTGGGTCTTGAGGTGGAGTCTCTGATTGCTGCATATGGGATCCAATGGAATATTAAGTATATCAGTCGGCAGAAGGCTTGGTTGGCGCGTGATGTAAGTTGTTCTATTTTTTTTCACCAATTTGTTACCTTTTGTTGACAAAGATAACTGTTTCAAGGTGATTGATCAACTTATGAAAGATGACCTGGCTTGTGTTCACACCAAAAACCAATGCCCTTGCAAGAGCAGGAAGTCATACAGTTATTTCCACAGACACCCCCAACATAGATGCCTTGGATTTTTCAATCCAAGGCATCATTGGACGGAAATCCTTGGACAGGTCTCGTCCGAGGATTTGATCCGAGGTATTTTTTTACGCAAACCAATACCTCGGACCAAAACCTTGGAAAGATTCTGTTTGAGGATTTGAGTCTGATGATACCTCAGATTTTTCAATCCAAGGCATCTTTGCTGGCTGTGAGAATGACTATATCACCCTGCGAGTGGGCTCAAGTACTCAATCTAAATGCAGAGCTGAAGGTGAGTACATTTGCATTCTTTACTTTTTATTTGTATGTATCATATAAAAACTAACATGCTTTAATTTCCAGCTGTTTCTTGAAGCAACAAAACAGATGGAGGGGGATGTACAAGCCAACCGGGTGCATGGTAATTGCAGAGTGTGTTGAGCTGAAAAAAAACTGAAAGCCTGATCTGAACAACTGGACAGCACTGAAGAAACAGAAACATATAAAAATTGTGGTGGTAGAATCAAAGGGTGAAATAATCAAATGCTAGATGGCTAGATAGAAGCTAGGAAATTGCCAAAATGAGTATTTGAGTTTGATTGAAGTCAGGTTGGCCAAATGAGAAAGGGATGATTTGAGTTTGATTGAAGTCAGGTAAGCAAATTCCAAAAGGGACAATTTGAGTTTGATTGAAGTCAGGTAGCACAGATTTGATGGTATCAATTTGAGGAAATTTCTCAATTGCATTCAATCGGTGTCAACAACAAAGTTGGAAAACATTGCTTCCGAGAGAATGACTAATTTGATTTCAATGGTAAAATACCTAGTGAAAATTGTCCATTTGGAATCAAAATGAGGCTTGACATCCTTGGAAACAAGAATTGACGGGAGAGAATTGGAGCGCAACAAAGAGGAATCAAAATGAGAAGGATTGAATCAGCTATATGATTAGGTAAGATAAGGTGATAATGAACTGGAATCATACCTTGAAAATGTTCCTTGTGTGATATGATATGATATGATGTGATATGATATGACCAAATAAGGTATTTGGCCAAATAAGATTGTATATGTCAGCAGGCAACTGAAGGTGTCATAAGATTTGTAGACGGTGTTGTTTCCTGAGAACGCCAGCTGCAACACCGGTGGCTGAGTGGGAGGCAGGTGGAGGTCAAATTGGGGACAAAAGATGAGAAGGGATGAAATTGAGGGGGGGAATTGTGTGGGAAGAAAGAAATCTGGCTGTTGAATGTGTGAATAAAATACAAGTGATTCCAACACTTTCTGACCTGATTGCAATATCCAACCCTGAAATTGTCATGGAAGGGTTGGGTCCATGGAATCTCATAGAATGTCATACATCAACGTTGTGGAACTTATAACCCAACAAGGGTTATACAGAGCTGGAAGAGGATAATCTACCAATATAAGGACTAGTAGAAGTTGTCTAAGGACTTCTCTTCTAAAACAACACAATCAGGAAAGGCTCTGTTGTATTGAGTACAGATAAGGCACCAGAGAAATATATCTTCACACGTATTTTAACTTCAAAAGCACACTTTGTATTACTATCAACACTGCTATAGTGTTATTCCCAAATGATAACTGAAGAAATAAGCAATATCTGATTGATATTATTCCCAATGAGTCTTTATGACTATAAAACTAAAGTAAATTTCTCTTTATAATTGTAATAAAGGGCGTATTTAAGTGACCAGGTACTATTAGAATAAGTTTATAATGATAAACAAAATAATAATGGCGTAAATGATAAAGAAAAAAGGGGGACAACAGTCCCAAAACCCTCTCAAAGTATATATAACAATGTACTACAACTTTTACAATGGTCAACAACCTCAAAACCAATCAAATCCGCCCAAAATTCCCTAAAAACCCTATGATGACGCAATGTAATGATTTTGTTACTAATAAATGATGTAATTTTCACAGCCAAAAGTGATCAATGACGCAATAATATGATGTTCAGCACTTCTTATGATGAATACAGGTGATTTTTTCCTTGTAAACTAGCTGAAAACCAATTTTTGAGATTACAAATTTTTTCAGATGTGCTCCAATTTTTGATTACTAAAGTGAATCTTGTAGCCCACGTGTTACTGATCATTTCTGACACCTATATGACCTACTTCTGATGAGTGATGAGTAAGATATTGAGTTGTGAAGTTAAGGTTTTGAGCATTACATGTTGACTGGTGACTGTAAATTCAAGATTCACACCAATTCTTTATTTGCCTTATAACTTTTTTCATACACCTCCGCTACTATTGATTTAAAGTTTGTAAATTATGTACTCCACTCTTCTGCGTTGAATGAGCCATCTACCAACCTAATCTGACGTCATTTGACATATGTAATAAGCTGAAAACCTTCATTTTTGACGAAATTCACCCATTTTCTCCACTTTTCACAGCTATTCCTCTCTTTCTCTTGCTCAAGTAATATGACATCATCCTCTATAGCCTTAAAAATCCCGTAAAATCCGCTTGGCAACCTTAAATTCCATTACTACCACTATTACATAACCAAACTACACGTGTACCTCTTGTTTACCAACTTCGAAAAAGTGCCTTTTCCCTAATAACTTTTGTTCCTCCTTATCAACCTTCAAGATTAAAATTGTCATAGTATAATATGATGTTGTTATTTCATATTCTAACCTCATAATACCCATAACTTTATTTCTACTAACCTAAAAACCATTTTCCAACCTATGTACCTATAATTTCAAATTTTTCTTATGTTTTTCTTTCTTTCTTTTTGTAATAAGTTTGTGAATAAACTATGATGATCTTAATAAGTAATGTGAAATAAAATGATGTAATGTTACTTTATGACCAATACATAAGCCTACAAGAGCTTCAATTGATCAAAAACCTCCATTTTGAATTTTCTTTCCTGCTGAATCCTGCTAATAAACTGGTAAACTGCTAATTGTGAATTTTTTAATTGATCCCATAAATTGATCACCACAACGTTTCTTCGGTTTAGAACAAACTCCCCGTGTCCCTACACCTCTTCCGTGTATTGATGTAGAACCCAAAAACCCAAAATCGGGTTACATCACACCACGGGAATAAATTAGTCCAAACCCCGATTGAAGAGAGTTGCGGTGACCGGGTTTGCAACTTTCTTCAATCGCGGGTTTTGTTTGCCTTGGGTTTGCCTTAGGTTTGCTGATTTCCCTCGAGTCAGCGTATTATATGTAACTCTGGAGACTGCTGACCCAAGTCAACACTTTTTGCCTTTCTTTCACAGCTCACTCCTGTTGAACCCATGACTGCATACCTGTAGGATGGTATGGAATTCACAAGTGGGATGAAGTGAAGTGAAGGCAGCTGATAATTGACGAGAAGACCTGAAACACGAGTAAGATAACAGTAGACATATGGAGTTCTACTTACAAATGAAAGGTCTAAGTTTGAAAGGGAATTGTGATGATTTTTTTCCATGCTGAGGAACAAAGAATAGCAATAATCTGTTGGGTGACTGATAGGAATTCTGTTGAGTGATATGATACAACCTCCATACATATGGGCTTAGATCGGATCTTGGATCTTGGTTGGCAGCAGGATTTGCTGACTGGAGGGGAATCAGCAAACCTAAGGCAAACCCAAGGCAAACAAAACCCGCGATTGAAGAAAGTTGCAAACCCGGTCACCGCAATTCTCTTCGATTGGGGTTCGGACTAATTTATTCCCGCGGTGTCAGAAACCTCCAGAGAAGCTCTCCTGGGCTTGCACCATGTCATTGTCCACAACCTCCAGCGAATCTGATCCCAATCAACCTGAGTTCCATCAGGATGAGATCGCACTCGACCACCCCATCGTCTCTATCACTTATTCTTTGATGCTCCAACACCTGTCTAGCGTTGCCACGGAACGCACAGCAGAGTTTGCGATCTACCTCTTCCTCATCGGTGTCTATCCTTTTGATCTCCTCAAGCCCTCAATTTATGGGTTTTGCACCACTGCCTCCACGATTGTTTTTGCTAGCTCGGTCTGCCGTCTGATCGATATCTGGCCTCGTCTTTATCTCATTCGTGTCACCGCTTTTGTTCAAAAATCAACGGTCGTCCTTGCATACGCTGCACTGCTTCTCTTGCTCTCATACAAATCTCAATCTGAACCAAATGTCATCATTGGCCACCTACATCCATCACTTCCCGTCATCTTCAAGTCACACCAGAATTTTTTATATGGTTTCGTGATAGTCTCAGGATGTGCTATGAGGGTCTCAGACGTATGTAGATCAGTGGCAATCGAGAGGGACTGGCTCGCATGCATCTGCCACGACTCAAGTGGAGACCTTACTCGTTTGAACACATTGATCAGACGGCTCGATCTTTCCTGCAAGTTGATTGCACCCTTGCTGGTCACTCTGCTATCATCAACACTGGGTCCGCTGAAGACTTTGACTGCCCTGGCAAGTTTTTCAGTGGCTGGCTTCTTCTTTGAATTAGCATGGATTCATCGGGTTTGGAATGCCTTTCCCATCCTGGCTGAAAATAACCAAGAAGTCCGACAGAACTCAGATCAAGATGATGTGGAGCTGAGAGTGGGCCAGCCCTCATCTGCGCGGCGGCTATGGTATTGGCTGAGCGACGGATGTGCACAGTTCTCGATGGCTTGGATCAAGTTTGTGAAACTTCCGATCTTCCCATCCTCGTTGGCCATCTCGCTGCTTTACTTTACAGTTCTTTCCTTCGATGGTAGCATGATAGTATGGCTGAAAACTCAAGCCTACTCTGATGAGTTAATCTCTGGGATGAGAGGATTGGGAGTGTTGACAGGTTTGATGGGCACGTTTCTCATGCCATGGCTGGAAAGTAAGATCGGTTTAATACGTGCGGGTGGTTGGACCATTTGGTGAGTGTTTGTACTTATGTACTTGCACCTCAGATTCACGACTATAATGATTGAAGGAGCACGCAGGCTACAATTTCTATGTCTCATCCCGGTAGTAGTTTCGCTGTATCTTGAAGACTTGTCATCTCGCCTGTCCATGTTGAAACCAGCCTTATTGTTTGGAGGTATAGCTCTCTCAAGAACATTCCTCTGGGCTTTTGATCTCTGCCAACTCAAACAATTTCAAAGCTATCCGACTGCACACACTATTGCTGGGCTTCAGTACTCTCTTCAAAATACCTTTGACCTTCTTCGTTTCTTGATGATGATCAGATTACAGTACGTCTTTTGAATTCCCATTGTTCATAATGACCCGTCGCCAATGTCATACGTCGTCTGCTTTGTCTTCGGGGCGTTGTTGATCGAAGTAAACCATCCGAATTTAAGCTGGCAGGAGCCCTTAGCGTAAGTCTATCAGCGCTTGATTTTTCACTTTCTTTGATGTCGAAGCTCTACCCACTCAATTCATATGGCCCATTTGTTTTGTGAGTTCTCTCATCGTGAGATCTATTGGGGAAGAGGAAAGTTGTGGACACATACTTACCTTTTCAATGATTTTTCTTGATATGTGTGTACGCACGCCGGGAATAGTTAGGATCTGTTTTCTTAGCAAGTGCATCTTATTCAATTTACATGTGGCGGGAGAGGGGCCATTTATTTCATCTCCATCGATTTATTGACAAGTTCAAAAAGACTGATTGACCTTTTGTTTCAAGTTTTGGTTTTTATGTATCACTTTTGCATCTTGGACTCATTCTTTGTATCTTGCATTATGTGAAGCAATATTTTATGTAGGTGTAAAAGCATTTGTAATAAAAAAACTGAAGAACAAAGAATAGAGAATATGGAGTTTTTTCAGAAAAGAATCAATAAAAATTCATAAGTTCAAACAAACTTCAAATGATCCAAGTAGATGATACAACTTACTTGAAAATAATTGTCCATTTTTGCACTGTGAAGGTACTTGACAACAGACCCCACGCCACAATCTGGTAGCATGTTCTCTGTTGGAAAAGCATAGGGAATTGTAATTTTCTGTCCCTACCTGACACCGCTTGTGTTGGTTGATTTGATGGGTATTTGAAATATTGTTATGGTCTGTTTTCTGTTTGCTCTGATTGCTATTTGCAATGTTGTTTTTTGTCACAATATTTGTGTATCCTAACAAATTTGACGCCAAAGCTATGAAAAGTCTTTACCAACTTTGACTAAATCCTACTGACTATACTGCAAATCCAATGAGATTTGGTTGCCTTTGAAATTGTCCTGTTTTCACAAAAGTGTGAATTACTTGAAAATTTGCAACAAAAAGCCAATCATGAGATAATTCTATTTTGGAGGCTCTTCAAGATGAGCAAACTGCTTCTCCAGGCAGTATAACAGGCTTCCCCATCTTGTATCAAGTTTACTATAAAAATGGGAATATGAAGAGCATCCTTGCATGTAGCATACAAAGTCATGAAGTGCACTCCTAGGATTGATTATATTCCCTCTCATCATTAGCAAGAGATAAGTTGCAACGAGCTCAAATCTATTCAGGACAAGTTTTTAACTCATGTCAATGAACAGAAAGAAAATGATTGTAGGTCTTCAGTCCAGAGGCGTCGCATTGATGTGGTCAGTCTAACAGAAGCAAATGATTCACATGATTACAGAGTCATGTGGTATCATTATATGAATTTTGGGAACATCTTAGTCGCGATTTCAAGGCTAGGCAGTTGACTGCCTTCAATTGGCACCGCTCAAGTTGGCAAGATACAATGTCAGGGAGACTCGAGAACTCTTGTGGCTGAGTAAGGCAATGATATCAAAGCAAAGAGCGTTCCCTCAGATACCATCGAGGTTTGTTCAAGATGAAGTTTTCTTTACAATGCGAATCCGAGGAAACAAGACACACTAAATCATAACTAGCAAATCGAACAACTACCTCAAAGCTTGCGACTCTTGACGAGTGTAGACTTCACCCCGCTCTTCTCGCCCGAGTATCCATTCATTTCACGACCCTTGGCAGCCTGATCTGATTTGTAAGTCGGTCTTTGACTTGAGATCTTCTTGTTTGCTTTGTCGAATCTCAATCGTTTCTTGACTCGAGGGTTTCGGTTCACCTTGGCACGTTTGGGTGTCAGACCCTTGTTCTTTAGGATTTGGCGCGTTGCTTGTCTTGGTCCTCCTGATTCAGCCTCCGTAGAGAGTGCGTTCCTAAACAAATAAATATCAGCATCCAGTATCCGTTTCATTGTAAGGCTACCAAGAAAGCAATCTTGTGAGGAAATCGATCACAAACCTCTCAGCTAGTCGCTGTTCATCGTATTTCGCTTTCTTGGCGATCTTCGCAGATTGCTTCAACTCTTTGATAGTGTCGTGATAATCTCCACTCTGGTCTGGGTCGGTCTCCTGACCATAGGAAACATCCGCCTCAAGGCCACTTTCATCATCACTACCAAGCGGCTGCCCGTGATCTTGATTCTGTAAGAATTCGCGCCGGCGAGCTTCCTTTGTATGATAAGGTAGATCGCTGTCTCCAGTCGCGTTGCCATCGACCCCGTGTATCGCTTTTTCTCTTCGCTTGCCTTTGGCATCGATCTTGGCAGTGTAGAACCGCAAGTTTCTCTTTCCGCTTGACTTTTGCTGATCTTCGCTGGCTGTCAATGATGTAGGCTCTATAAAATCGTTGAAATCTGATTGATTATGTGAAGGAAGTGAGCCAGTTTCGGACCGCTTGGGTAGAAAGCTCAAGGCTAGGTTAGGATCCTCGACTTCTATTGATTGAGCAGAACGCTTTCTCTTCTTCGCCTTTGAGCTTGACTCTGGATCCCCTTGACGCGACTTCGAACTAGAGGACTTGGATTTCTTAGAAGACTTGGCTGGCAATTCACCAAGAGAAACCAGAGGTCGGGCATTATCGTGTATAGCGTCATGGTCATCTTGAAGCTCTTCAAGTTCTTGTGAAAAATCGTGATCAAGGTAGTCCTCACGACAAGCGTCCATGAGATCAGACATGTCCTCCAGCTCCTCGTCCACAGAGTCACCCGTAAGACCATATTCATCCATCTTGTTCAAGGATGTTCTTAGTTCGAGTAGTGCCAGCATGACCTCACCCATCACAGGTGTGGTCTGCGACGGTGTCTTCAATGAGAGATGAAGGTAGAAAGCCGCTGTCGATAAATAGGTCGAAAGGACGTCTATGCGACGAGAACAGTTTGAATTAATTTTCCATTGGTGCGAAAGACAGAAACTGACGGCTTACGATACTGCAAACAACCGACAGCTTGGTTGAATATGTTGTGATCAGCATCAGCCTCATCAGCGGCTTTGAGTGAGCCCAAGACATCTTCCTTGACCTCCATCAAAGTGATCAAGTTTCGTTGGAAGTCATCGACAAGAGCAAGTACCTCAGGTTTAGTCTTCAACATCATTGCGATAGCTTCAGGTTCAGATTCAAACTTTTGTGGAGAGAACTCTAAGAGGTCCATAGCTCCTTTCAGCTCTGAAGTCGCTTCTACTTCAACTAATTCTGAATCAGAGGCGTAGTCGAGATAAGACATAAAATCGTCCCGGATAAGTTTTGACCTAGCTTTCAGTTGCAAGCGCTTGACTTCTTCTAATTCTAATGCTCGACGTTCCTCTTCTTCCGCTTTTGAATCAGGATCATTTCGAGGCTTCTTCTTGGACTTCTTAGATTGTGCCCTGGTGACGTGATATGATTTCCAAGTTTCTTCTTCTTCTTCTTCTTCTTCTTCTTCCTGGTCTTGATCCTGGTTGTCCTTTTCATCCTCCGAGCTCAACTGTTCAGACTCGGTATCTGGGTCGTTATGAAAGTCAGAATCAGCGTCTTCCGCAGTGTGTCCGACGTCCATCTTTTTGCCAAATCGTCCTTTTTTTGTATTATCGATATCGGGTTTGGCTTTCCTTTGCTTGGGAGCTCGTGGAGCTGGCTCTTCATCCATTTCATCTTCTTGCATTGCATCTTCATCGTCAGATTCTAAGTCCAATAGCTGTCGAGGTATATCTAGATCGTGTTCGATTTGTCCCCCGCCATTAGTTTGTTCCAGTAAGACCTTATCGTTTCCTGCAAAGACTGCGACACTCGGCGATAGTCAGGTGATATGTAAAGTTTAGAATAGATAGATGATCAAATCCCCTACATTGGTCTTCGTCATCCATCATGTCTTCATCATTCCAGTCGTTCAAAGCTTTGATGCGACTTTTCTGGGTATCGAATTGGCCATCCGTCAGCGGTCTAGCATTTTGAGCCAATCGAGCTTTTCGTGGACGATTGCTGGGGGCAGCTTTTTTATGCGAGCGAGAGGGTGCCATTGTGGAGTTAGAGGCTACTGTGGGATGAGATCAGACAGACCTAGAAAGAGTTGACTTCAAGAGTTGAAAAAATATTTGACAAAGGTTCACAAACTTGGGTGTGATATGATATGGACTGTGACACCTATCTGGACATCCTCCCTGATGCTGTGATACCCCCGTGTTTCTCCCGACAGCTGCTATGGGTGGATGTTGACAGCATGACAAGGACACGCCTGTGGGCATAGCCCGGCCCTGGCGCGGACATTCCGCCTCATCCAAGAGCTCTCTGAAAGCCTTGGCATCATTCAGAGGCACATCAAATGAAATGATGGGCTTTTTGAATTCATTGCTTTAAGTGCCTCCTGAGTCGTAGGCTATCAGGCACTGTAACTACTTGTGCTCCACTGCGGTAAAAACCCCTGTGGGGAACAGGACTCGTGCAGCAGAAAAGCCATATGACATGGAAAATTCCAGCAAGTTTCCCGCCAAGCCATCCTACTTGGTCATACCGAGCATAATCTCAACTACGAAGTCTTTATTTTGGCGACAAATGCAATTGTTACCTCTCATGATGTCATTGTCAAAGAAAGCAATTTCCCATTTAAGCAACTCAAATCATTTGATATTTCTCATTTACCTTTTGATGATGATGAAGTCAAACGTTTACCGGATCCTTCTGTACTTGAACCCATTGCTGAGTATCAAGACAACGACATCCATTTCCCTGGTGGTGAAGGAATGCACCAGGATGATACTATTGATCAACCACAAGCTATCAACAATCCAATCTTACCAGATCAATCCACTCCCAATTTACAAGACCAACAACCTCTAAACCCACCTTGTCACTCTGAGAGAGAAAGAAGAGAGGTGGAACGCTATACACCATCAGCTAGTTTTGCGTATTGGGATGATGAAGGTGCTTTCATTGATTTACATGATTCTTTTCCATATGCTTTTGCTGTTGGATCAATGGTCAGATTGGTTCAAGAACCACATGACTTCAAATCAGCAATGAGCGGTTCAGACAAGAATCAATGGAAGGCAGCTTGTGAAAAGGAGATGAAGAACATGGAGGACAGAAATGTTTGGCATTTAGTCCCATGGCCTTTGTATCATCTTGTTGTTGGAAGCAGATGGCATTTCAGAGTCAAGCTTGATCCCGATGGCAATATCAATAAACACCAAGCTCAGATAGTTGCCAAGGGTTACACTCAAACTTTTGGTGTAGATTAAACTGACACTTTTGCACCAACCGGGAAGCCAGCCTCTTTCAGATCTGTGATTTCTTTTGCTATGTATCACAGTTTTCCTATCCACTCTATGGATGCCATAGCGGCTTTTCTCAACAGTAGATTAAAACATCTTATATACATGGAACAGCCAGAAGGATACAAAGTGATGGGTACGGACTTAGTATGTGAACTACTTCAAGCCATTTACGGATTAAAGCATGAATCAGCGCATGAATGTAATGATGAATTTAGAACCAAATGCTTAAAAGCCGGATTTGTACAAACACCAGAAGATGAATGTGTCTATATTAGACAAAGATCACACAACATTTGTTTATTTTATTTACATGTTGATGACTTAGCTATCACTGGTAACAACATTGAGGACTTCAAGAAAGAAATAGGAGGATTTTGGCCAATGGAAGACATGGGTATATCAAATTGTGTTGTTGGTATACAAATAGCTAGAGCTGGTCCGCATCATTATATCTTAGGACAAGAAGCAATGACATGATCTTTACTTGAGAGATTTGGTATGATTGACAGCAAGCCAGCATCAACTCCTTTACCCGGTGGCACCAAACTCACTAAATCCACGCCGGATGAAGCCAGATCTTTTACTTTACTAAACCTTCCCTACGGAAGCGGGGTTGGGAGCCTAATGTATCTATTGCAATGCACTCGACCGGATATCAATTATGCAATTGGTGGCTTATCACAGCACTTAGAAAATCTATCCTTATGTCATTGGGAAGCCTTCAAACATATCTTACTCTATCTCAAGGGTACATTGAATTACTGCATCCATTACAACAAAACACTGTCAACCGCCATAGCGAGCAACAATGGTTTTGCCCTGCCTGAGCATTTTGCTGACTCTGACTGGGCAGGGGATAAAAGTACCAGGAGGTCTACAGCTGGATACATCTTCATGCTATTTGGCGGAGCCATTATTTGGCAAAGCAGACTGCAGCAAACCATGGCTAAATCATCTACTGAAGCAAAGTACCAAGCATCAAATGAAGCCAGAGACAAGATGATATGGCTAGCTAGATTTCTTAACCCCATCAAATTACCTCACGTGAAACCATACTTGTTGAACGCAGACAGCTTGAGCACCATCAACATTTTGGAAAATGCAGTCATGCATGGACAGACAAAGGCCATTGAAATGCATCATCAAGGTGAAAGAAGGGGTGATTAAATTAGTATATTGTGCATCAGAGGATATGTTAGCGGACATCCTTACTAAACCACTTCATCCAGGTCCTTTCAAACATGTGGAGAAACATATTGTCAAAAGGAATATCAATTTTTTTGTGTATGTATATTGTTAAAGCTGGAAGATATTTCAGAATCAATGTTTAGGTATAGTACAACAATAGCATTTTTTGTCAGTGATTTTTTTCAAACCTCAATAACTCAGTCAATTTACATCACAAAGGTTAATAAACTTTGTATTCTTGGTGGGGAAATACAGGAGCAGTTTTGTACAGGTTCATGATGCTGTATGACATCATCTCATTATTGGTGGTATCCTAACCACTTCTCAACAAATTCTCAATCAATGGAAGACATCCATTTGATATCCATTTCACAACTTTCTCGTGACTTTCTCATAACTTGCTAGGGTCAGTGGGTTGCACTGGCCTGCCAGTGACTTGTGATTGGGGTCTGTGAAAGAATGGTTGAAGGGTAAGGTTGTTGGCACTCTCTTTGTAGACATCAAATCAGCCTTCCCATTGGTCCATCATCCCCACCTTCTGGACACCCTGGAGAAGAAGGGAATCAATACTCAAACACCCAACAGATTACACAACTTCCTAACTGAGCGCTCTACCATCCTGACCTTCAATGGTTTCAAATCTTAACCTTTCTCACTGTATCAAGGGCTCCCCCGGGCATTGTCTTTATCTCCTTTATAATTCTTCACTTTTAGAAATTACTGACAACATCTCCACCTCCACAGAATTAGGTTTCATTGAAAATGTGGTGCTTCTCTCCACTGTCAATGACACCCATCAGCTCAAATCATAAATGCAAACCCTACCTTACTGCTTTCAGCCTGAGACTCTTTGTTCAAGTAAAACTAGAGTACTCAAGCCAAATAATACTTACAAAATGTATCTTCTAATAGTTTTACAATTTATAGGGATAAGCTCTTGATATTTAGGTGCTGGACATTTCAAATTCCAAAACCACTTGAAGCAATGCAAAAGAACCAGGATTGATGCTGTGGGTCAAGGATCTCACAAGTACAGTAATCTGGAGTTGATTTAGGTTGATGTATACATGTGACATTCAGGCGTGAGAAATACTGCAGCTGAGTATTATATATCACATAATGTGTCTGTCACTGTCAACCCATGGGTACATACCGGTATGAGCTTAACAAAGCCCCTCACAAGCGTGTTTTCCGCGCCCTCAAAGAGGGAATCACATTGGACTCGCAAGTTTTGGCATGTGAACTCCAAGAAACAAGTCCTCTTATGTTGTTTTCTTGACTTCTCTGCTTCACCTCACCATAGAAAATGTTTATAAGCTTCAAGTAGGTTATTCTCCTTGAAAAGGTACACAACCTCATACCACTTTCAATAGCAACTCAAGTCTGTGACACTTTTGGGAGCAACACCACCCGTGCACCGCACCGCTCCGCTATGCTATGTTAGCCATTTTTCATAGCAGGGCAATTTGGTGCTATGAAAAATGGGCAATCACTACACTCTTTTTTCTAAGGCACTATGTAAATAGAAAGCGGGGCGCGTAAATAAACCGCTCTGCTCCGCTATGGTCTTTTTTGGAGGGAAGATAGTGAAAAAAAGTGCAGGATCATTTTTTATGGATTGCACTATTTGGCAACTGGTTTTGAACAGTTGATGCCCGGTTTTCAGATTTCAACATTTTTGCAAATCAAAACCGGGCACAACAAGATCTAACTTAACCCAAGTCTGATTGTGCAAAAGCTCACGGTAACCCAAAGCCGAGGCACAAGGGACTTGCACATTAAACCACATGTCTAGTGTGACCAATAGCCCCCAAAAGTGAAGTTTGGGTCACTTTTGGATGCAATCCATCCTATCTCATTCAACATTACTTTGATCTTGTTTCTTAAACTGGCTGGTATGAGTTCAGCATCTTGTCCATAACTTCTATTAGAAAAAAAAAGAGAATCAAAAGTGCCAGCTCACAAGAATCGAGCTGGGAAACAAGTAACAAGTTTGTTTCAGGGTGTCAATTGACCATCTCTCAAGCCTTTTTAAGGGTACACATAACAATCTTAGCGGTTGAAATTTCAAATCTCAAAATAAGCAGCCTCAGTGAATCAACAGGATCATGAGCTCTGTCAAGATTCTGAAGAGGCCATTTCCTTCATAACTCAACAGAGCGCATCTGACTGTTTTTTTGAAGAAAATGCATTTGTGGGTTGTGGTGTAAAATCAAAGTGAAAAAACACCCACCAAAAGGTGGCTATTAGTCACGCAACAATTGACGTTTAATACGCAAGCCCCCTGTGCCAGGGGCGGACAAGTCCGAGAAAAAATCACCTGGCACAGTGGGCTTGTTGTTACAACCCTGTGCCAGCAACGCAACACACCGCAACACGAGTTTTTTTTGGTGCGTTGCTCCGCAACACGCAGCACAAACCTGCATTACATGCTGCGCTGCGGTAAGTACCGCAACAACAAATGGTGAGGTCAGGTTGCGCGGCGCCTTGACCGTCGCGCAACACAACAGGCGCTGTAGAACTCCTACGCTGTGTGGCGTAGGCTGAGCCGGAGAGGGGAAGAATCACCGCAGAAAGAATAACAAGATGCGGGTGAAACTAT